ACACGCACACAGACACAGGCACCAGACACACACACACAGACACAGACACAGACACACACAGACACACACACACACACACACACACACACAGACACAGACACACACACACACACACACAGACACACTCACGCACGCGCGCACGCACACATACGTGCACACACAATCTGCCTCGCTTTGATGTCTGCACGTATGGTACTGCTTCGCTTCATCTAAAGGATGTCGTCCAGTTCTGAGATTCTGAAGATGACCGTGCTCGGGTCGAAGCTCAGCGCACGCATTGTCGTGACACCTGTGGCAGGGGAGAGGCAAGCACAGGCGTGAGTAAGCATGCGGCAGGGCAAGGCAGTAAAACAAACACACGCACACACACGCGCGCACACACACACACAGACACAGGCACAGACAGACACAGACACAGACACACACGCACACACCATAAACAAACACAGACAAGCACACATGTACACAGCCTCACACACACACACACAGAGACACACACATTTGCGTACATTGTGGAGGCAGTGTTGCCCACTCATCTGTCGCCTTTTCAATGCTGGCGACGGAGCGCTGGGATGCGCGAATGTTGTCAAGCTGGAGCAATCAAACACATGGTTTGTGGTGATGAGGAGATGAGGGGATGAGCAAGGGCACACATACACACACACACATACACACACAGACACACACAAACACAGACACAGACACACACACACAGACACAGACACAGACACAGACGGACAAAAACACACAGATACACACACAGCACCAGTTGTTGGTTGGTGTGCACGACTGTGCGTGTGTAAGCTGTGACGTCCTGGGCACCCATAACAAACTCGGCCACAGAGGCGTGAGCGGTACCACGTTCCTCCATCTCCGATACGCTGTGCTCTGCACATGCGGTATGCGGTGCCACGCGAGTTTGCGTTGGCAGGTCAAAGCGTGAGACACACAAGCAACCGCAGCTGCGAGTGGAGCATGGGGCAACGCGCAGTGGCAGTGCTTGGCGTTGGTGATACCTTTGCATAGCTGAGTGAATGACGCTTGTATATCCGCTTCCACCCTGACCATGTCATTGAGCGCTTCCACGACTTTATCCCTGTCAAGAAACAAGCATGTGAACCAGACTTGCAGACACGCAAGAAGACACCAGTACATGACAACGGCGTGCACGACGTGTAATACGTGCAAGCACGCATGTCACACAGACACAGCTACACAAACACAGGTGAACACATATCACATGCAGACGCACAGACAGCCGCAGACACACACAGACACACGCAGACACACACACACACACACAGACACAGACACACACACACACACACACACACACACAGATGGGCGCACGACTCCGCTAACCAAGCTGTTGTAATGCGAGCGTGCTGGGCTTCTGCGCTGCGCGCGTGACACAGCCTGAGACGCTGTTCGAGGTTGGGAAACTTGCGAAGACAGGTCAAGGCATCCTCGGGCACCGCAGCTTGCTCCTCTTGCTCTTCCTCCTCGTCTCCTTTGCTGTTGCCTGTGTCGCTGGTTGTGAGTGTTTCCAGCGCTTGCGCGCGCTCCACCATGCCATGCAAGCGTTGCAGCTGCTCCACCACTTCCAATGCGGCTGTGTCTTGCCGATCGGCACACGACACAATCTCCTTGAACTGAGCCCTGAGGACAAGAAGAGCACGGGCACGTGGGATGTGCGTGCGCCGTGGCAGAGCGTGAAACACATGTACAGAGAGAGGCAGAGAGAGACAGAGACAGAGAAACAGCGAGACAGTAAGAGAGAGGCACACACACACAGACACACAGACACACAGACACACAGACACACAGACACAGACACAGACACAGACACAGACACAGACACAGACACAGACACACACACACACACACACACAGACACACAAGCGTGCTCACGCAAAGGCTCGTCGTTCCTCGTCCATCTTCCAACAGGAGGAGTTGTGAAGACTTTCAAGACACAATCAGATTGTTTCTGTTGCTGTGTTTCATGTGTCACACATCACATACCACATCACCACACCATGCAGCGTCCCCTTCATGCCCATCACACCGGTCCGTGTACTGCTGATAGAGAGAGGAGATGGAAAGGAAAAGGATGTACAAAGCAACCAGGAAGCAAGAAGCAAGCGGAGAAACAAGCAGCGTGGAGCCGACAAGAAGGCAGGCCAGCAAAGGCACTGGCTATTGCATTGAAATATAGGCAACGAGTAGCACGCGCGCGTGTACGTGTGCAGGTTTGAAGCTGGTGGAGATTGAGAAAGGAGGTGGGGGGGGGGGAGAGCAGCTGCTCATGCAAAGGAGGATGATGCACCAGGCTGCTGTGGGTTGCCTTGGCTCTGCTGGTAGCGGGCATACACCTCGTCTGGGCTTGGTACTTGCACAGGTTGGGGGCAGTCCTGCTGTGAGGTGTTAGTATGTGATCAAAGGGTTGTGTCGTGTGAGCCATGGAAAAGCGGGATGTGGTTGGGGCAAGGAGCAAGGGAGAAGGGGAAAGAGGGAAGGGAGAAGATGAACAAGGAAGGAGGAAGAGGGAAAGGAGGGGAAACACACACACACACACACAGACAGACAGACAGACACAGACAGACAGACAGACAGACAGACAGACAGACAGACACACACACACACACACAAACAGACAGACACCCCAGCAAAGCAAGGAAGCACGTACTTGTCCCGTGGAGTGCTCGTTGGTGAAAGCGCGAATTTCGTCATCGCTGCTGAGCGTGCGGTAGTGGTCAACACAGCCCTGGAGGCGAGCAGACTGTGCGGCGTTCATGTCGAGGATCGTCTGGCAGTAGCGGCCGACTGTCGCCCCGACAAAGCGGTGGCGGTCGCGCTCAGCATCCTCAAACGTCTGCCCAAACCAAACCACAGCACACAGCGCAGCGTCCATCAGATGCGAGAAGAGAGCGGAGGGGGGGGGGTGGAGAGGAAGTCACAACGGACAAGTTGCGCAAAACAAGAGCACACAAACACACACAGCCACACACACCCACACACACACCCACACACACACACATTGGGTGTGGCTTACGTTACAGCCCTCGATCATGGTGTCAACCCAGGCCTTTTGGCGTGTGTTGAACTTGGTGACGTGCTTGTTGTAATCCTCCGCAGCCTTGTTCACCTTCTTCTCATGCTTCGCACGCGCGTCCGCAAGCTGCACCCCCCCCCCCCCAAATTAAAGCATTAATCAACAACAACACATGTGAGCAATCAGCACCGACACCACAGCCAGCAATCAAAACAAGACACACGAGGATGTTCGCAGCAACACCCACGTCATCATTCACAACGGCACACCTTCTGCAGCTCCTTGTGGGAGGCGCCGACAGCCTGGGCGTGGGAAAAGTTGTCGCAGGCGCGGCCGTAGTCAATGCACTTGTCAACGTAGTGCGCATGGGACTTCTCAAGGCCGGGCACCGCGCTCGCAAGGTCCTTGCGCGTCTCAAGAATCGTCTTCTCAAACTGTTTGTGGTATTGTGAAGAGCAGGAAACACCAGAACGTAACGTGAGCACATTGCGTGTGTGAATGTGCACGTAGATGTGTGCGTGTTTATGAGTGCGCGTGTGTGTACGTATGCGTGCGTGCCGTGCGGTGAGCGTTCGTGCTTACGGATTTGCGGGCAAGCTTCTGCTGGTCCTTGAAGCTCATAAAATCCTTGTCCAGCTCGGTAGACAGCTGCACAACACGCATAGCGGTGACGAGTGAGCAAAACAGGCGAGCAAAACACCTCAAGGCAGACACGCACACACACCCACACACACCCACACGCACACACACACACACACACACACACACACACACACACACACACACACACACACACACCAACCTGGATGGCAAAGGTGGCGCGGTCACGCGCCTCTTCTGCAATGTCGTTCTTCACATTCAACCAAATCTGACGCATGTGTCTGCACATCACACAAACACACACACACACACACACACACAAAATACACACGCGTCGAACACAGCAATGAGGACGACACGATACAGCATACCGCGCGTGCAACACACGAACAAGGCGTTCAATATCCGTTTCTTCGACACAGCGCACGGCCACCAAACCTTTTCCTCCCCCTCAAGGTTCATCCAAGCTTCGCCTCATACCCATGTTCAGTACGTACCCTTCCTCCATGTCACCGAGCGTGACCTTTGCCAGCTTGGCAAGCGCCTTTGCGTACTGGTCCTCAACAGCCGCCCTGCACACATACACAAATGCAGGATAAGCCACAAAAAAGAGAGTGTGTGTGAGAGAGAGTGTGTGTGTGTGTGTGAGAGAGAGAGAGTGTGTGTGTGTGTGTGAGGCACAACCACGATGGTTGCTGTTGTTGTTGTTGTTGTTGTTGTTGTTGTTGTTGTTGTTGTTGTTGTTGTTGTTGGTGGTGGTGGTGGTGGTGGTGCCCACAGGCGACGCGACACTAAGAAAACGAGAACTCCCTCAACACGAGGCGATGACTGACCTGAGACGCATAAACTCGGCCAGGTCTTTGCACACCTCCTTGCCATTGCGGTGCTTCAGCACAAGCAGATCAAAGCCAGGCTTACCATCCGCCTAACAAATCGGCGTCAACACAGCGGCACAGCCATTGTGAGCGTGGTGGTATTATTGGGTACGCATAGCGACGCAAAGCATGCAACGCAGCTGAAGCATGCAGCCCAGCCATTGTGCCCACGAAAACGAAATGCCACACACACAGAGACACAGACAGATAGACACACAGACACGCACACACACACACAAGAGTGTCTAGGTGCAAGCTGTTGCAAGGCACGCACCGCATCCTGCCAGAAGTTCTCGCGGTAGTGGAACTTGTTTGGATCGCGCATGCTCGTATCGCGCTGGAGCGTTTGGAAACTGGGATGCACCGGCTGGCATCATGTCACACCAGAATGATGGCGACGTTGGTGAGTCTTGCAGTATGGAAACAGCAGCAGCTAGCAAGCGCACGTCACTATGAAAGCGCGCGCGCACACACATACACACACAACACCACAAAACAACGCCAGCGTACCTGGGCCTGCTGCTGTGGCTGCTGTGGCTGCTGAAACTGCTGCTGCTGCTGGCCGGGTGGCATTGGCGGCCCCTGTGGTGGCCCCTGTTGCTGCGGGTATCCTGGCTGCTGCATGTGCTGCATGTGCTGCTGCTGTGGTGGCTGTGGTGGCTGCTGCATCTGCATCTGGCCGTACTGCGATGGCGGGCGCATTGGCGGGCGCGGGTTGCCGGGTGGTCCCGGGGGCGCGGGCTCGCCGTACATGGAGTTTCGCATCTGTGGTGGCTGCTGCGGGGGCTGTGGGGGCTGTGGGGGCTGCTGCGGGTCCTGGTCTGGCAGGTCGCCGTACACGTCGTCGTTCATGATGGGCGGCTCGGGTGCCGAGGGCACGAGCTTTGGCTTGGGGGCCTGCGGTGCCTGAGGCGGCCCACCGGGGCGGGGTGCCTGTGGCGGCTGCGGCGCACCCTGGCCCGGCATTGGCGGTGGAGGGATGGACACCTGGATGGCAGAGCTGGGGGCGATGATGCCATATGCATTCTCTTCCTCATCAGCCGGCTGCTGCGCCTGCGGCTTGTCCCACCGCGTTTCTGTTCAGTCCGCGTAAGCAAACGATGTGGTTGTGTGATAAAATGACACGAAGGGTGAGAAGAGTGAGGCACGGGCTGTTCAATAACAGCCGAGAGCGCAGCTGTGACATGTCACATGAAGTAATCCAACACAGCCACCAGAATCCGGACTCATCCATATCTTGTCTCTTGTGTTGTCACACCTACGAACACACACACACACATTGTCTTTCTGTCTCTATCTCTGTCAATGTGTCCATTCATCTGTCTCCTTCACAAGCACAAGACAAGCGGGGAGCACGACACCTTGAGTTTGCTCGTTGACATAGTATGAACGGCCAGATGCCTGGTCAACAACGGCCTTCCAGCCCGGTGGCAGATCTGGCGAGCAAACGAAGGCGCAGGGTGCAAGAAGGGTGCAGTGAGTTTGAAAGGCCAAAGCCGTCTGAGTACCTGGCGAAAACCACAAAGACACACACATGCACACAACTGCACAGTTGCACACACACACACATGCACAACTGCACACACACACATGCACACATTGCGCCGTACCGTCATTGCTTGGTGCTGCTGGTGCCTGAGGCGGTGCTGGTGGCGAAGGCACAGACACTGGCTGGGGCTGGGGCTCGGGCTCTTCTGGCGCGGGCGGGGGAGACGCCTGTTCCGGCTGTTGTCGCAGGCAAAAAAAAGAAGGGGGGGGGGAGGCAGCAGCAGCAGTACAGTCAGCTGCCACAATCGGTTCCAGCACACACGACATACGACACACGACACACGGCATACGACACACAACACACGATAATGGTTGAACATCGACAAGTATCACAGCAGCGACAGCAGCGACGACGACAGCATTAAGACATGTCAATCACCTCAGCAGGCTTCACGTAGCTGCTGGGAAACCATCTGTGAGCCCATTCAGGACGCGGCATGTGTCGGTGTGCAGGTGTTAGAGGTTGGTGGTGGCAGGGTGCACCCGTGTATGCCGAGGTGGATCACACACAAGGTAACAGAGGCACAGAGAGTGTCGTTGTCACACAAACCAAACATACAGCAGAGGCTGAAAAGAGTCAGACAGGTTTACAAAGTCAGATAGGCTTACAGACAGACAGACAGGCTTACAGACAGACAGGCTTACAGACAGACAGACACACGCAGACACACAACACATATCGAAACACACTCATCTACATCCAAACACACACATCCACACACACCCCGATTGCTGTGTTGATGTGTGCTTGCCCTTGGTCCAGCCCGAGGCGTCGCGTTGGATCACCTCGATGCGATCACCTGCCGCGAACGAGAGGCCATTCTCGTTTGTGGCTGAGAAAGCGTACAGCGCTTGCACCACGTCGGCCATAGTCGACGATGATGATGATGATGATGATGATGAGGAGGAGGAGGAGGAGGAGGAGGAGGAGGAGCTGGCTTGGTCTTGGTCTTGGTGGTGGTGGTGGTGGTGGGTGATGCTGTGTTGTTGTGACAGTGGGCGGCGATAGTGGGTGTGTTTGTGTTTCTCCTTCGCGCTGTGCTGAGTCGAGTCCTGATGATTTGTCGTATCTTCCATAAAGTACCAGGAACCACACTCTGCACTTTTCTTATTCTTGCCGTCTCCGAACGCTGTCCTGCTCCGTCGCCGACAGCTCGCGGCGTTGCTGCCATCTCCACCACGACTTTGATTGAACAATCAATCAATACAAACACCCCCGCAACACAAACACTCAACAAGTTCGCGCGCAGGGCCTTGATCCCTCTCCATACACCACACCGCACACCGCACACAGCACACCGCACACAGCACACCGGGAGTTGCTGCTGTAGTTGGTGGTGCTTGGTTTCTTCTCTCTTCCTTGCCTGTCGTTGCGAAAGGCAAACAACAACACCAACAACACCACCAACAACAACAACACCAACACCACAACAGTGGGAGATGGCGCTGAACAAGAACGACCAGCAAAACAAGAACAAGAAGGGCAACGGCGCCCGCAAGGAGCTCTTCTCCATCATCTGGCTCGTGTTTCTGCTGGGCTCAGCCGTCCTGCACTGGTGGGGATACTACTTCACGGACAAGTGGATTGTCACTCAGAAGGGCGCAACAGACCCCCGCACAGTGGGCCTGCTGCAAAACTACGAAAAGCACGATGCGTGGTTTGCCACCGTCATCTTGCTCGGCATCAGCCTCGCGTGCGTGACCATCGCCTTCCTGGCCGGGTTCTTCTTCTTCTTCGTCCGCCTCAAGCGCGCAGCGAAGACCCGCCACATCTGCCTCAAGGTCGCCAAGGTGTTCTCCTTGCTCGGCGCCTTGTGCATGTTTGCCGGCCTCATCGTGTTCCCAGCCGGATTCGAGTCCGCAAAGGTGCGTTGCGCGTTTGTGCGCATGCCGTGCGTGCAGTGTAAGCGTTTTTTGGCTGATTTGCACGCTACACGCACTGTGCTTTGTGTTTGTGTTGTGTGTGTGTGTGTGTTTGAGACTGCGCGCGCGTGTGTGTTTGAGACTGCGTGTGTTTTTGAGACTGTGTTTGATCTAGACATGTTCTGTACTTTATGCTTGTGGCTGTATGTGTGCTTGCGTGTGCGTGTCTTGTTTGTGATGATGATGGTCCCGTACCAGCACAACAAGCACTGCCATGAAGTACTGTCGTGATGGCGAGGCTGCCTATCACCGCGCACCATGACGCACGTTACCTCACCACCATGTCCCGTGTTATCCTTCTTCTTGTTCTTTTTTTTTTGTTGTTGTTGCGCATTGCAGTTGCTGCCATGCTCCTTTGCGGCCACAAAGGAAGCCGCCTACCATCTGTGCAACCCTTGGCAAACTGGCCTTGCCGTGTACCTTCTCATCGTGTCCCAAGTCCTGCTTACCCTCGCCATCTGCTTCTCCGCCTGCGTGCTGAGCAAAATCGATGAGGATCGCAAGGAGAAGGAGAAGCGCAAGCGCCAGGGCAAAGACGACGAGTACGTTTTCGTTCTGTTTTGGTCGTGGTTTGCCTTGTTTTGTTCTGCATGCTCCAACAACCCCATTTCTATCGCCCTGTGCGGAGTGCTGTGCCATGCTGTGGTGTGATGTGGTGTGGTGTGGTGTGTGGTGTGGTGTGGTGTGGTGTGGTGTGGTGTGGTGTGGTGTGGTGTGGTGTTTGGTGTGGTGTGATGTGCTTTGGTATGTGTGCGTGTGGTGTGTGGTGGTGTGTGGTGGTGTGGTTTGGTGTGTGTGTGTGTGTGGTGTGTGGTGTGTGGTGTGTGGTGTTTTTGGCTCCTACTCTTGCACATGCGACACCCGTACTTGTCCATCGTATTCTTCAGATTGACCGCTGCTTTTGTTTTGGTCCTCTTTGCGTTTGTGTCGCTTTTGTGTTGTGTATGCCAAGTTCTCACCGCGCTCCTTGCTTGTCCAACACGCCCTTGTGCTGCATGGTGCGCTTGCCACGGCAGGTGGTTCGACAAGTACGGTACCGCTCCGCTCATCACCGAGACGGGCATGGGCGACGACGACACGGCGCACAACAAGGATCCACACCTCCTCGACGAGGTCATGGCCATGAACGCCAACGACGACATGGTGCGTCATTGCGTGCTATTTCATTTATGCGTTTGTGAGAGTGAGCGAGTGTGTGAGTACGCGTGTTCTCGTGTGTGAGTACGTGTATTCTCGTGTGTGTGTGTACGTGTGTTCTCGTGCGTGTGAGTGTATGTGCGTTGTCGGGTGTGAGTGTATGTGCGTTGTCGGGTGTGTGTGTGCGTGAGAAAGTTTGTGTGCCCTTTGCCCCCCCAGGCGGTGCATGCCAAGCCGTGTACACAACAGGCCGCCCCATGTTCCGTGCCGTGCCTGCTGCCACTCGTTGGCTGCGCATGCCCTCTTTTTCGCTTTTTCGCTTTCCGCTCACCGCACTTGCCCTTTGCTCTCTGGTGAATGGTACGCTGCAGGAGAACATGCACATGCCTGGGTATCTGGACCTGGACGAGCCCCAGCAAGACCAGCAGAAGCAGCAGGAGAAGCGCGCCTCGTTCATGGAGACGGTGTTCGACAACGGCTACCTCGACTTTGCCCAGGAGTCGCAACAGCCAGGAGCACCCATCGACATGGTTGGTGGCAGCGGCGACGACGACGAGGATGAGGCCGGGTACCTTGAGTTTGGAGACGACGGCGTGCTGCGCGACACGACTGGCAATGAAATTGCGGAGACGTACCTCGACTTTGATGAGCCGGATGTGCAGCAGGAGTCGACGCAGCAGCTCGCGCCCGACACGGACACGGCGTACCTCGACTTTGACCAGGACGACGAGCCCGAGACGCTGTATCCCGATGCCCTCCCACTGAAGGCACTTGACGCCGGCGGCGCTGGTGATGACACCGACGCAGCGTACCTCGACTTTGAGCAAGAGGAGCAAGCAGAGGAGGATGAAGCAGAGGAAGAAGAGGAAGAAGAGGATGAAGAGGATGAAGAGGATGAGGTGGAGGCGACGAACGAGGGCTACTTGGACTTTGACCAAGCAGATGAGGAAGAGGACGAGGAAGATGAGCAAGAAGAGCAGGAGCAAGAGGAAGAACAGGAGCAAGAGGAAGCAGAGGAAGAGGAAGAACAGGAGCAAGAGGAGGAGGAGGAAGCACCAGTGGCCGAGGAGGCGAACGAGGCATACCTCGACTTTGACCAAGCAGATGAGGAAGAGGACGAGGAAGATGAGGAAGAAGAGCAGGAGCAAGAGGAAGAACAGGAGCAAGAGGAGGAGGAAGCAGCACCAGTGGCCGAGGAGGCGAACGAGGCATACCTCGACTTTGACCAGGCCGATGAAGAGGAAGAGGAAGCAGAGCAAGAGGAAGAACAGGAGCAAGAGGAGGAGGAAGCAGCACCAGTGGCCGAGGAGGCGAACGAGGCATACCTCGACTTTGACCAGGCCGATGAAGAGGAAGCAGATCAAGAAGAAGAACCGGAACAAGAGGAGGAAGAAGCGCAAGAACAAGCGCCTGAGCAACAACAGCCCACCGCAGAGGCAGAGGACGTCGTCCTCAACTTTGATGATGATGACAACGACGACGACAATGGCGGGTACCTCGACTTTGATGCCGACGATGATGCGGCCGTTGGGCCGGATGCAGCAGCTCAGCAGCAGCAGCAAAGCCAGGACCAGCAAACGCTGCCCTCGTTTATGGCGGATGCCATGACTGCCGACAACAACGACAACCCGATGGTTGACCTGGATGCGCTGTACGGCGATTTGGATGAGGATGTGCTGGACTTGGACGCGTTTGATCCCGAGACAGACGAGATGGTGCTGGATCTCGATGCGGCTGGAGACGACGACGATGACGCCGATCAGTACTTCTAAGCCACTGGCGCTGACCTGGGGCCCAGTGCCGGCATGCCACATCATCGCCATCTTGTTTTCTGTTGTCGGTGCTGCGCGTTTGTGGTGTGCAACTGGGCCTCGCATTCCTTGCTGTGCGCGCGCTGTGGTGTACGTTTCCACGCTGTTTCCATTCCGTTTGCGCTGTTCACTCGCGTCCCACGTTGATTGGCGATGTTGTGTTACTGTTTGTTTGTTTGTTTGCGCCCGGTCCCCACGCTGGTGTGGTGGCCGAGGTGCTTTTGCTCGCGTCGCTTATTTCTGTTTCACATTCCATTGTTGACGTTTTGGCTCTTTGCCGCTCGCGGTGTTGTCGTTGCTGCTTCATTCTGGTGTTGACCTACCTGTGCGTTTGTGGCATGTCACACTTCTGCGAAGTGCTTGCTTGCAGCGCGACTTGACATCCCATCACATTTAATCCCATCACATTTCATAACATCACATCACTCCGCATACGAGCGGGTTGTTTGTTTGCGTGCTTTTTCATTTGATCGACCCCATATTCTTGCTTTCATTGCCCTCTTTCTGGCCGCCTTTGCTGTGGTCTTGTACTGTTATTAACTTGTTGCTTGCTTGCTCATTTTTGTTTGTTAATCAGCAACCAACACCAATATATCCAAACGATGACAAGAAAGCCCATGTGCGCGCGTGTGTGTGCTTGTTTGTGTGTTTGCACGTGTGTGTACATGTTTGTTTGTGTATGTGTGTGCGTCTCTGCGTATGTCTGCGTGTACATTATTTGTTTGGTGATGGGAGATCACGGATGCATGCGCGGACAGTAGCGGACGACAGCCGTCAGTCAAGCACAGCCCCGTGCGAAGCGTCGGACACATGCTTTGCATATCTGCCCAGCCACGACCGCGGCGACACGGCAGCTGGCGGCTTCTTCCACGCATCACGGCGCGCAGCAAGCTCCTCCCTGTCAAACCACGTGTGTTGGTTTGAGTTGAGTGAGTGCGAGTGCGAGAAGGAGCGGGCTGGTGCGTACGTTCGTTTGGGTGTCAGCATCGAACAGAAGCTACAATGAGCAATAGCCGTGGTGGACGCAGGCTGCGGAACGACTCACGCAGAGACGTGAATGTCCAGGGAGCACTTGTCGAGGTCGTATGTGACGACGTCACCATCCTGCACGAGTGCAATGGGTCCGCCCCGCGCAGCTTCGGGCACCACATGGCCAATCATGATGCCGTGGCTCGCACCTGTGTGGCACGTGGTGGTACATCGTGAGCTGTGCTAACGCCGTTTGTTGCTGTTGGGGGATTAAGGGTGACGCGCGTGTATGCTGAGCATGACACATTTGCGGCACAGTCCGTGCAGCTCTGGAGCACGAGCACCCTTCCACAACACCAACAGCGAGGCGTGATGTGACTAGCAAGGATAACACGCTGCATGCATGAAGTGTCACACAAGGCGCAGTGCAACGCACCTGAAAAGCGCCCGTCTGTGATGAGTGGCACGTGGCTGCCGAGACCCTGCCCAACAAGTGCACCACCAGGTGACAGCATCTCTGGCATGCCGGGTGCGCCCTGGACGCAGGACAGAGGCAGACAAGGGATGAGGGGAAATGTGAGAAGGGGATGCAGTCGCGTTCCGAACTACTTGCCGGCGTGGAGCGCAAAATGAGGTAGAGAGGATAAGGTAGGGCACACGGACAGACATGCACCGACAAACTGACAGAAGGACAGAAAGACAATCACAACGGAGCGATTGCACCGCATACCTGACACATACACACAGACAGCCAGACAGCCAGACAGCCAGGCAGCCAGAGAGAGAGAGAGACACACACACACACAGACACGCACACACACACACACACGCACACACACAGACACGCACCTCTGGGCCTTGATATCTGATGATGAGAGCGTCGCCCTTGTTGATTTTGCCCTGGACAATGGCCTGCAACGCCTCCCGCTCGTCATCAAAGCAGCGCGCAGGACCCTCAAACCGCCGCAAGTCCTTTCCGCTCAGCTTGATCACGCTCCCGCCAGGACACAACGACCCCTGCGTATGTGCACGCAATTGTCACCCGACCACAAGAACGAGGTGGAAGGCGGGTGTTTGCCAACGAGTGCACCGCACACATCAGCGGGTGCACGTGTGTGTGCGTGTGTGTGTGTGTGTGTGTGTGTGTGTGTGTGTGTGTGTGTGTGTGTGTGTGTGTGTGTGTGTGTGTGTGTGTGTGTGTGTGTGTGTGTGTGTGTGTGTGTGTTTGCATGGCCACTTGCTTTTGTGTGCTTGGGCTCGAAGTACAAGGCAGGCAGCAAAGAATTCCTTGAGTCAAGCTCGTTTCACAACACATCACGCGCAGTGATGTGACATGACACTACGTACCCTCATGACGACAATGTGCTGTCCTGGCGGAGCAAAGGGGCGGTCGATTGGCGAGATGATGTGTTGGTCCTCGCGTGGAGCGGTGACACCGCGAAGGTTTTCAGCGACCGTTTTGCCCGTGACGGTGAGACAATCACCGTGCAGCAGACCAGCGTCCAGCAGTACGCGCATTACGGGCGGCAGGCCGCCAATGGCGTCAAGATCAACCACATTGTACTGAGTAGAGTGAGCGTGAGTGAGCGGGTGAGTGAATGTGAGTGAATGTGAGTGAATGTGAGTGAGTGTGAGTGTATCTTGCGAGGAAGTGACGGCACGAAAAGCTTCAGTCGTGGCATTTCGTTCCCACACACTGCCTCTCAGCCTCTGCTTGTGCTGCGTACTTTGCCCTCTGGCGTGAGGTTTGCAATGAGTGGCACTCGATACGCAATGGTGTTGAAGTCGTCAATGGTCAAATCAACCTGGCAGACGGGGCAGCAGCGGCGGAGATGAGAGAAAAGAAATCAGCACGATGTCCAACAGAAAACAAAACGACAGCGAGATCAGGGGTGAAGACATGGACGAAGACCCGAAATACGATACACGCTCTCTTCCCACAACACAAAAACACATGCAAAGGCAAACCACGTTCCAACACACCTCTGCCTCTCTTGCGAGCGCGAGGAGATGAAGGACGCCATTGGTGGACCCACCAAGAGCCATCAGCACTGTAATCGCGTTCTCAAACGCCTGGCAATGCGCGCATCAGATACGGCGGTGCCAATGTACCAACGGGAAGTGTGAATGATGATATGGTACAAGCATTCCCTGCTTGCCGAGCCATTCAACACGCAAAGGCACAAATGCCCAGGATCTCTCACAAGGAACGCATGAATACAACGCCCCGCCCCATGCACCTTTCGTGTCATGATGTCGCGTGCACGGATGTTGTGCTGCATCAGGTAGGTGAGTGCCTTGGCAGCGCGCTGGCAGTTGTTGATAACAGCAGGGTTGATATCGCTGCTCCCCGGCGACAACGAAGGAGAGCATTGTTGAAAAAAGACTTTCATGAGGTCTGGAAGAAGAAGGCCAGAGGGGAAGGATAAACGAACCATTGCTAACACACACACACACAGACAAAGACACACGCAGATATTCAGAGGCACACAGACACACAGACACACAGACACACAGACACACACACAGGCACAGGCACAGACACAGACACACACATACACACAGGCACGCACAGACACACACACACACAGACACAGACACAGACACACACACACACAGACTTCAACTCACTGGCGTGTACCGGGCTTGACAGCGGGAGTAGTGGATGTGCCAGGAAGGGCCATCCCCAGCGCTTCAATGCACGTGGACATAGTGTTGGCTGTGAACATACCGCTGCAGGTGCCCGAGCCGGGACACGACGAGCACTCAACAGCCGTCAGCTCCTCAATGTCAACCCTGCTTACAAGCCAAAGCAGACACAATACAGAAAGCATAAACGAATGGGTAAATGCTTGAACGAATGCATGAATGCATGAATGCATGAATGCATGAATGCATGAATGCATGAGTGCATAAACGAATTAGGCTCGATGAGGATGAGGTGTGGGAGCAGTGAGTTCGCACAAGAGACAGATACTTCTGTGCACACGAATGCATGCATGTGCGTGCAAGTGTGCAACACAACAACAACAACAACAACATCAGCAGCGGCATCAGCAACAACTACGATGTACTGGGAAACGCATGTGCAATGGCGGGTGACCAGTTGAGGGCAGCAGGGCAAACGGCACTACAGCTGTGCCGTCAGCCACGAATGCCTGGTGCTGAACTCCATTCAACGTACATGCCCTTGGAGAACTTGCCAACGGCTTCAAAGGGGGAAGCTGGGGAGAGCTTTGTGTCATGTAGCATGCCGCTGTGTGCCGTGCCACCGTACAAAGTGATGCCAATGTGGTTGTCGCGTGCGATGGGCATCAGCACACCAGGGTTTGTCTTGTCGCACCCAGCAAGCGTAATCATCGCATCAGCAGAATAGCCCTGTTTTGCGTGTGCATGCGTGTGAGCATGTAGGCATATGTGTGTATGTGTGTATGTGTGTATGAGTATGTGTGTATGGGTGTATGTGTGTATGGGTGTATGTGTGTATGTGTGCATGTGTGTAAGTGTGTATGTATGTATGTGTGTATGTATGTATGTATGTATGTATGTATGTATGTATGTATGTGTATATGTGTATATGTGTGTATGTGTGTATGTATGTATGTATGTATGTGTACATGTGTGTATGGGTGTACATGTGTATATGTGTGTATGTGTATATGTGTGTATGTGTATATGTGTGTATGTGTATGTGTGTATGTGTGTGTGTGTGTGTGCATATGTATGTGTGTGTGTGTGTGCGGGGGCTGAAAATAGGTGTAAGAGTGATCCTTGCCACATGAAGCGTTGTACACAAATACCATTCAAACCCTCTGAGGCCAACCTCATGCATGGTCTCGACGCAGTCTGCAATCAAGTCCCTGCTCGGCAGGGAGTACCTGCAAAGCGTGGGTGCGCGTGCATTTAAACAGTGAGAACACACCATTCATGGTCGCAACAATACTTGGGATGTACAACACAGGGCCGCCGAGCACAGCATCCATGAAGAGTAGATGTGCGTGTGTGTGTGAGCATGGTATCAGGTTGCATTTAATGTCGGTGGGATTCACAGTGTCGCGTACCGCATGCCTTGCGAGCCCATGGTTTGCCCGTCTGAGATGACTGGCTGATGGGATACAAATGCCTTCATCCCAGCGGCCTCAACAGCCTCTGCAATCGATCAGCACACATAATACGGACGAACATGCACCACCAGTCAGTGTGTTGAGGTGCCCGGACGTCACCATCGCAAGCAAGACGACCACGAAACGCTGTGTGAGAGACAGACAGACGGAGAGATGGGGTTGGTTGACGAGCCAGAAGGTACTTCAAAGTTGTAGACGGCCAGACTGACACACACGCACGTGTATGCGCATACATAAACAAGTAAATGTATTCGCACACAAAACAAGTGAACGGAAACGCATACATACGCGCATTTTCACATGAAACCACACGCGCATTCACATGCAACCGCGTACGCATTCACACATGCAACCACACACGCAGCCGCTGACCTCCCACGGTGTCGGCGAGCTGTCGGAAGAGTTGATTGCACATGTGGATGCTCATGTACGGTGCAGCAACAGTGATAATGGGTTTGCGAAAGTCACTGCCAGTGTAACCCGCTGCCCAGAGTTGAGCACGCGATCCCGTGCGCTTCAACCAATCTTCACTGTTCGGCCCAGTGCTCGGATCCCCGGTCAGCGCGACGCTCCGTTGCTTCAGCGCATCGCGCTCATACGCCACACTCACGGCAGGATCCATCGTCCCAAGTCGACGTGCTTGTTTGTGCTGTGTGTGTGTGTGCTTGTTTATTTGTGCGTGTGCGCGTATGTGTGTGTGTGTTTGTTTGTGCGTGTGTTTGTTTGTGTGTGTGCGTGTGCGCGTATGTGTGTGTGTGTGTGTGTGTGTGTGTGTGTGTGTGTGTGTATGTGTATGTGCGGTTGCTTATTTGTGAGTTTGTGCGAGTTGCTTGTCTTCTCACTGTCTGTCTTGGGTGTCCTTCTCCGCTCGAATTTTAGCGACGACATCCGTATTTTTCTACAAATCGAGTTGTTGTGTTGTTGTGGTGGTCGAGGTGGGAGAACAAAACAGCTGGCGCCGCACACCTTCTGCTGTGCCACGATGGCGTCCGAGCACTCGTCAATGAGTGCGTGGGAGAAGGCGTGGTTGAAGGATGCATTCAACACGGGGGCATGGATGACGTCAAAGGAAGGCCAGCTGTTCTTCCTTTGCGCCCGTGGACCGCACGTCAAGCTCGTGCGCGATAATCAACTCCGGCATGTGCAGGTTCGTTTGTGGTTTTGTGTGCCTACTTTCAACGCCCAGCAGACATACAGCTCTCCCACGTGTGCGGGTGTGTGAGTGTGCGCGCGCGTGTGTGCGGGTGTGTGTGCGCGCGTGTGTGAAACAATGACGGCATTTTTGCTTTGCGCTGCTCACTGGTTGTGGACGTCACCGTTGCTGCCGACGCTTTAGGTGAAATTAATCAGCCAGGGTCCATCCGGACACGTGTGGGTCGTGGATCACAGCGGGCATGTTTGGGTGCGGGTGCAGCAGAACCCTCTTGCACGCGCCCTTCCAGGACATGAGGTGCGTTTGTTGAGCCCTGACATTTGTCCAACAATGTGGTGCCGTGTGGTGTGAAGCCTCATGTGCGAGGTGGGGTGTTGCGCTGCTTGCGCTGCTTGCGCTGCATCGTGTACATGACCCGGAAGGATTTCGGTTGTACCTCGTGATGATCGGCGCCTTTCTTGCTGACACGAAAACACGTCCACTGTTGTGGTTTACGTACATTCACTGAACCAGGTTATGGGCATCGGCACGACGGAGGTCGTGTATGAGCAGCAGAAGTGGCTGGCGTCATCGCGGTCGTATGCGGCATCTCGGTTCGTCACCCCTGCTGGCGACTCCTACGACTCCTTGGACGAAATCACACTTCCGTCCTCGCGATGGCAATGGGATGCAGATTGGGAACTGGAGACAAGTGCGTTTGGTGGTGTGCGTGTGTGTGTGTGCGTGTTATGTGCGTGTTATGTGCGTGTGTGTGATGTGTGTGGGTGTTATGTGTGTGTGTTATGTGGTGTGTGTGTTAGGTGTGTGTGTTATGTGTGTGTGTGTGTGTGTTATGTGGTGTGTGTTAGGTGTGTGTGTGTGTGTTATGTGGTGTGTGTGTTAGGTCCGTATGTGCGCGCGTTTGCGATTCAGTGCAGGATTTTGAATCTTTCATCCTTCCGGTGCGCTGTGCTGTGCCGTGTCCAACTAACATACGCCACTTTAACCCCCTCCCCTCCCCCGGCCTCGTCTGCGGATCGTCATTGCAGCACTCGGCGAGAGTGATTCTGGTGGCTGGGAATTCGTCTCGTCTGGAACATCTCGTGTGCAATCGCTCTTCACTTCAAAGTGGGTCCCATCAGCGCAGTGTGTGTTGTCGACAGCACACACACACACACACACACACACATACACACACACACACACACACACACACACACACATACACACACACACACACACCTTGGCCACATTCACATCCGCATCCAACCAACCAACCACTGACCTCTCCCCGTCTTCCCGCCTCTCCCGGCACCTCTCTTCTTCTTCTTCTTCTTCTTTTTCTTCTTCTCCGCCAGAACAACCATGCGGCGGCGCGCGTGGCTGCGAACGCGGTCCATCAAGGATCCCTCTCAGGCGTGGTTCATGCTGCCCAAGTGGAGCAAGCACGAGGTCGTCTCCATCGCCGTTGCTCAGAGCGGCGCGTGGATCGTTCTTGACAAGTTCAAGGTGATTCTGTGCCCACTCCATTGCGTTTTGGGTGTGCATGAAGCAAACGGCCTGTGTGCGTGTGCATGTGTGTGTGTGTGTGTGTGTGTGTGTGTGTGTGTGTGTGTGTGACAGTGTGTGTTTGACATGTGTGACGTGTTTGTTTTCGTGCGCGTGTGACGTGTTTGTTTTCGTGCGTGTGTGACGTGTTTGTTTTCGTGCGCGTGTAACGTGTTTGTTTTCGTGCGTGAGTGCGTTTACGTTCGGCTACATGTGTTATCGCGTCATGCTGGTTCCGTGCGGACGATCCACACCGCCGCTCTCATCCCTCCATTCCCTCGCCCCCTCTTCCTCTCCGTGCCACGCTGCCATTGTGTCAGATTGCGCTGCGCGAGGGCCTGGACCCGATTCACGTGGAGGGCCGCGCCTTTGAGGCCGTGGAGGAGCCAGAGTTTACAGGAACACCCATCCACAGCGGCTGCATTGCCGTCAATCAGAACAACAGCACGTGGCTCAGTGCGCCCGACGGCAGTCTGTACTTTCGCCAGGGCATCACGACGGCAACGCCAGCCGGCCGCGCATGGGTGAAGGTGCCCAACACGCCGCTGCTCACCCACATCACCGTCACATCGCACGCACTCATCGGTGTTGGCGTCGACGGGAATCTGCATGTGTTTGACGCACCGTCTAACCCGTTTGCCGTGACGGCCGGGCAGTGGACAGAGCTTGCACCGCCGTCAGCGCAGGATGTGGCGACGGCAGCGTTGGAGGCTGCGCTGCTGCACGTGTTTGAGAGCGGGTGGGAGGTGGTCGAACCAGAGCCTGGCGACTTCAACGAATACGACGATTACGACCCGCACATCCAGACACTTGACGACGATGATATTGACGATGACGACGACGAAGGTGCAGAGGAAGAGATGCTGGAGGACGAAGCAGAGGGGCAGGTGAGCGGAACGGGCGTGGGTGGGCAGACACCTGGCGACGGCTTGAGCAGTGACCCCAACGCCGTTGTCCGTCGCCGCCATTCCAACCGCAACTCGAAGCGGCGGTCCATGATCCAGTCTGCACGTGGCAGCGTGCTCATCTCGCGACCAACCATCAGCCAGCTGGCACGACAGCAGGCATTGGCGCACGGCGCACGCAAGACCATTGGGGCAATGCGACGCGAAAGCGCATACTTCAACAGCGACAACGACAACGCGCCGAAGCGGCCGGCGCAGCCCGTGTGCTGGTGCACCGCCACGGAGAACCTGGATTACATTGTCTGCTTGGATGTCCACGGTGATCTCTACGTGCGCATGGGCATGTCCCTTACTCGCCCCTTTGGCACCGCCTGGCTCAGGTATACATGTGCGCGTGTATAATGTGTGTGATTTTGTGTGTGTGTGTGTGTCTTCTGTGTATGTGTGTGTGTGTTTATGTTTTGTGTTTTGTGTGTGTGTGTGTGTGCATGCATGTACGCGTTCTGTGCGTGTTTTTGTGTGTGTTTTGTATGTGTGTGTATTTGAGTGCCCGCATAGACGGTTGCATGTGCACATGTGTGCTGTGGATCGCTTTCTCAGTCCCATTTCTGCATTCACGCATTGAACCCCGTGCCTTCGCTCTCTGTCTCTCTCTCTCTGTCTCTCTTTGTCTGTCTGTGTCTCTCTGTCTCTATCTGTCTGTGTCTCTCTGTGTCTCTCTTGCTAATCACCTTGACGGCCAATGCAAAACGACCATCAGGGCTGAGGCAACCTTCCTGGGCGGAGAATGCGGCGGCATCGAGTGTTGCGAGCTTGGCCTGCTGCCCTTTATTGGTGACGTTCCTCTCCCCGCCCTCACCAGCCGCGCACACGACCGCGTCATCTCAAAGATGGTGCGTGTGTCGTGCGTTTGCTTGCGCGTGTGCGGGTGTGCGGGTGTGCGTTTGCAAGCGCATGTGCTTGTTCTTGTTTTGATGGAACCCAGACACTCATCCCACAACGCTCACACTCACTCACACTCACACACACACTCACTCACTCACTCACACTCACACACACTCACACACGCTCACACACACTCACGTGCTCCCCCACTTGTTCAGCTGCGCGCGTCAGCACCTGCACCGCGGCCAAACTTCATCAGTCAGCGCATGCTTCGAGAGACGCTTCCAGAGACGGACGCCGTCGTGCGCTGGTTCAACAGCAACAACACATGCAAGCTGCGGCTGGACACGCGTGCGCACCAGCTGTGTCTCGATGTCAAGGCGAAGGAAGGCACCACATTGGAGGACACACAGCAGTCGGAGTGCCACTTGCTGCCGCTCATCCAAGTGCGCAGCGTGCGTCCCAGCTCGAAAGAAACACACTCCTTTCGCCTGGAGACCACGGTGAAGCACTTCCAGACAGTGGTGGTCACGGTGCGTTCGTTTGCAAAGCGGCGTGACTGGGTCACGTACCTGCAGCGGTGGGTGTGTCTCGCGCGACGACAGCTGCGGGAGGCGGAGTCCACGTCGTTGTCAGCACCGGCCCTTGGCGATGCGAGCGGTGGTGTACTGCCCGCCAACGCCGGCGCGCCAGCGGCAACATCGCCGGACCAGGTGGGAGATGGTGTGCAGCCGCACGGGCAGCAGGTGGTGGCGCCTGCGCTGTGGGCCATCGACACGAACAACCGGCTCTGGTTCTGCGATCTCGTGTCGGACCACATGGTGAGCGAGGTTGGCGAGTGCTCCCCAGTGTTTGACAAGTGCAGCTACCGCGATGGGAAGGCGTCGGGCAAGATACAGTTCATGCCCAAGCTCTACTGGCACCCAACAACCGACCTGACCTGCCAGACGAACAAGGGCCCTGTTGTCATCCACGCCAAGCAGGTGTTTGCGTCGCCTGCCGGGCTTGTGTGGGTGCTGAGCGCCAGCGGCCGCGCGTACGCGCTGGTGAAGGGCGAGGAAGGCGGGGACGTGCGGCACAAGCGCGCGTGGCGGTACCGACGGTGGCACGAGGCCGAGGACGCGTACGTCAGACAGGGCGAGCAGTTGGCGTCGCAGCAGGGTGCGCAGCAGGCGGTTGAGCCGTTTGCACACCCGTCGTGGGCACGGCGGCCCACCGGTGCACGCCATCTCACCACCAACGGCATTGCGCCGCCGCCCTTCGCCCGCAGCTCAACAAACGCCGGCGGCCGCAAGAAGGGCAGGGGCACGCGCGGTGGCGGTGGACGCGGTGGGCTGTGGTCGACGACGGGGACACAGGACGGGTTTCGCCAGTCGCGGCAGTACACGGCTGCTGTTGCCCGCACGTGTGCCGCACAGGCCACCGCGGCGGGCGTGCACTGGGTGTCTGTGCCCATGTGCCCGTATCACGTGCGTGGACAAGCCGGGCAGGAGCGGATCAAGGACGTCGGCCTCTCCATGACTGCGGCGTGGGTGGTAACCTCATCTGGGCTGGTGTATGTGCGCAGCGATGTGACTGTGACCTCGCCCATCGGCGTGGACTGGGTGCCGGTGCAGTCGCCAGAGCTTGTCAGCTCCGTCTGCGTGCGCGACGGCAGCGTGACCATTCTCACTGTGCAGGGGCACGTGTACACGCGCGTTGGGTTTGGCGAGTCAACCCCGCACGGCACGCACTGGGAGACGGATCACGGCGCCATCAGCTCCGTGTATCTGACACGGAAGCGGCCTGATCAGGTTGTGGACTCGGCCAACGCCCTGCAGTCGGGGGTGAGCATCACGCACGATGCGCGCTGCGTGTGTGCCCTCAGTCCCCAGCTGGTGCAGATTGGCCTTCGGTCCACTTACGGCCGCATTGTCTGGCAGCTGCGTGCAAGCAACCACGAGTTTACCTCGGTGAGTGCCAGAGCGCTCAAGTATCGCGGTTGTGTTTGTATTTGTGTGTGTGCGTGTTGTGTACTCGTGTGCGTGTTGTGTACTCGTGTTTGTATTTGTGTGTGTGTGTGTGTGTGCGTGTTGTGTACTCGCGTGTGTATTTGTGGTTGTGTGTATTTGTGGTTGTGTTTATTTGTGTGTTTGCTTTGTTTGCTTTGTTTGTGTGTTTGTCTGTTTATTTGTGTCGGTTTTGTGACAGCATGCTGTTCGATGGTCAAGGCGACACAAGCAGCAAGTCCACGTGACAATGCAAACGTGCGCACGCGCGTGATCACGCACGTGTACGTTTGCGTATGTACACTTTCGTGTATTCATACAAATGCAAGAACTCACGTTGAACCATTCCTGCGCCTGCCTGGGCTGCGGCTGATGTAGGTGTCGTGCGATGGGTTTTCGCACGTGTGGGGTGTTGACTCTGCTGGCTACCTTCGCTCCATGACCCTCAACATGCCCTTTGACATGCACAGACCGTCCCCTTCCACCGCGGCCCTCGAGTTTCCCACGTGCGTTCCTGGGGCAATTGTTGCTGTGCAGTGCTGCGATGCAACGTGGCATGGTGTGCTATGATGCGTGCTGTTGTGTGCTATGTTGCGTGTACTGTTATGTGTACTGGTGTTGTGTCAGCGGATTTTGTTTCAACCGGGTGTGATGGTCATGCTTGCGAGAAGTTGACCTTGATTTCACGTTGTGTCCCTCCTCAACATCTCATCTCCTTCGCACGGCACAGAGAGAAAGAGCGCGATCAGAAGCCGTTTACAGAACTCCCACTGCTGTTGTGGAAGAGTCTTTCTGTTGGCGAAGAAGACGAACTCAAGTTCACGTTCATGACTGCCGCGTGTGCCCGTCCTCGCGTGGTGCGTGCATGTGAGATGTGCGTGTGCGTGTGTTTGTGTGTGTGTGTGTGTGTGTGTGTGTGTGTGTGTGTGTGTGTGTGTGTGTGTGTGTGTGTGTGTGTGTGTGTGTGTGTTCGTTCGTGCATGTGTGTGTGCGTGTGTGTTGTGTGTGTGTGCATTCGTGCATGTGTGTGTGTGTTTGTGTGTGTGTGTGTGTGTGTGTGTTCCGATCTCGAGGCGATACAGGTTGCTTTGTGTTGGCTGGTCATTGTACTCATCCCTGCATTGATTCACACACACACAATCACACGCAATCACACGCAATCACACATGCAAACAGCGGCGGCCGCCACACGGGCACTGCATGCTGGGCGACGACACCGTGGTGCCGACGAAAGAGTGCTCTTCGCTCGGAAAGACGTTCATGTCCCTGTTGTCGAGGCAGAACAAGAGAATGCGCATACGCCTTGACCGCACGCACGCGCAAGTGCGGTGGAGGTTCATTGTGGATCCTCTCGAAGTGAACGCTGAAGGTATTATGCATGCGCGGAGTATGAGCCTGCAAGTGTGCTTATGTGCATGTGTGCATGTACACACGTGTCCAATTGTGCAGTTCACGTGTGTATGTGTGTGTGTGCTCTGTCTGTCTGTCTGTCTGTCTGTGATCGCAGTATTTGCGCGTGAGCGGACTGGTCTGTGGTGGTCTGGCCTCATCACCAGCAAAGTTGACGAGCGAGAGGCCGGCGGCAAAGCGAGCTTCTTCCTCGTTCATCCCCACGAGATGCGCGAAGACTTCTGGGTCGACAGGTGAGTCATGTGTGTACGTGTGTGTGTGTGTGGTTTGTGTGAGAGACTGAGTGAGTGTGTGAGAGACTGAGTGAGTGAGTGAGTGAGTGAGTGTTTATGTGAGTGCTGTGTGCATGTGACTTGTGTGCGCGTGTCCGTGGCTTGCATGTGCTTCTGTTGCCTCTATCGCTTGTGCTCGCCCTCCAAATTTCATCCACCACCACCAATTCATCATGGCTGTCATTTCACGGCCATGTCGTTCGTATATCATCCCCTCCCCCCGCACACAGGACGCGTGTTGCGCCGAAGGTGAAGCCCAACAAGGGTGCGCTGTACATTGGTCTCTGTGTTCTCGTTCCGCGCACGCGCGAGGGCGGCGAGCTCGTCCTGGCCACCGTCATCGCCGTCGACGAAAAGTGCGCCACTTGCTTGGTGTGGTGTGGTGTGGTGTGGTGTGGTGTGCGTACGTGCGTGTGTGTGCAATGCGTGTTGTTTGTTTGATGTGGGGTTGTGGTGCGTTCCTGTTCCTGATGCATCACCTCCACTCCCCTGACTATCTTCCAACAGGAGCAACACCGTGACTGTGGAGGCGGCAGAAGCGAACCTGCGCCCGTACACGCGCCAGTTCAATATGGGCGACATCTTCGTTGGCCCCAAAGAGGAATACCGCGGCCTCAGCCCGGCCTGTTCTCGCTTCTAGCCGTCGCTTTGCGTGTGTATGCATGTGTTGTGTGTGTGTGTGTTGTGTGTGTGTGTGCGTGTGTGCGTGTACGTGTGTACGTCTGTGTGTGTGCGTGTGCTGGCTTTGTTGCCGCCGTCCATTTCGCGTTACCTTTGTCTTTGTTGTTTTGCTTCTCATGTGCGTTTACTTTGAGCTGATGATACTTGACTGTACGCAGCAGCATGTTACAACTTCTCTGTTAGACCTGCGCTTCTTCCTGCAGCATTAGACAATAGACGACCCGAACCTTCACACATAGCGGAACGATAACTGGCACCTATTTGTATTACATGTGGATTCAGAGGTCATACGGCGGCTGCAATAGCCAGTCCAGCCGCCCGCTCCGCAGTGGTCTGAAAGCGCAGATTCAGATTAGTTAGGGTACATCCGTGAGGGTTGAGCGGTGGGTTGGAACATGCCTGGGAAACGGCGCACTGGCTCTCGTAGCGGAACCACGGACACCCACGGACACCCACGGACACCCACGGACACCCACGGACACACGCACGCACGCACGCACGCACACACACACACACACACACACACACACACACACACACAATCACACAACAACACACACACACACTCACACAATCACACAACAACACACACACACACACACACACACACACACACACACACACACACACACACACGCACGCACACCGACACTGACCCTGGGAATCGTCGCCTGATGACGTGACCGTATGTGATGAGGCGTGATGCCTGCGCTTTGGTGTAGTTGTCCAAGTCAGGGAAGCGCATGCTCCTGTTGTGTGGTTGTGTGTGCGTGTTTGTTTGTGTGTGTGTGCGTGTTTGTTTGTGTGTGTGTGTGTGTGTGTGTGTGTGTGTGTGTGTTGTTGTGTGATTGTGTGAGTGAGTGTGTGTGTGTGTGTGTGTGTGTGCGTGTGTGAGTGCGTGAGCGAGTGAGTGAGCGGTGCGAGTCTCGGTGCAACAGCAGTGCGGGAAGGGTGCAACCCATACAAAATACAGTAGTGACCACAAGAAAACCAAACGGCTGCCCGTGTTTGCATGTGATGGGAACACGTCTTTGTGGCGTGTTCTGCAGAGCAAATTGTAAATGTCAAGTACTCACGCGTCCCGATAGAGGTTTCGAATAAATGAAAGCTGTCGCGTCGTGGCGGGTTGCTTCTGCATACTCTTTGTTGCGTAATACATCTGTCGTGCGAGTGCATGCAAGCAACCGTACGGGCCAACATCAGCACCACTGAGTAGTTCTCGAGGATACGTATTACCTTTTGGCACACTCGCCAGTTCCAGCATCCGCTCAGTGACACGTTTGAAGCATCATTATCTCGTCCACCGTTCATCAGCCATCCGCTCAGTACGAGCACCACGCATCACCAGCACCACTTGAACCACTATGGTCCATCATGACCCATCGCACCCGCTTCAAGTCGTCGTCGACAAACGAGTGCGCGTGGAGAACGGCGAGTATATCCGCCGGCTTGCTCGCGTTGATGTTCACGCGAACGTCGCGCGGGTTCAGATACTGGCGCACCGTCCACCGATGCGACGCGAGGTGGATGATGGCGGCAATGTACTTGTCTGCCATTGCGGTGGTGGTGGTGGTGGTGGTGGTGGTGGTGGTGGTGGTGGTGGTCACGGGGGCGAAATGGGAGTGAGGGCAGTGTGAAGGACGAGAGGAAGGAGGGGAGGGGGAAGCAAGCGTGAAGGGGTGGGCGCAGGTGGGTCGTGTTGCTCAAGAAAATGAACAATCACAAGTCAATGAGCAAACACCCAATGGATGGCAGAAACATGCACTCTGTTTCAGAGGCAGGCACACTCACAAACAGCCACACAAACACAGGCGCACGCCGAACACACGGCATGCGCGCTTGTACTGGCAGTGCTGGTGGTACGAACCTTCCTTTGGATGAAGGACAAGGAATTCATCTTTGGTGTAGAGAGGAAGAATGTATGTTTCCGCCACCTTGAACAGGTCGCTCTGCATGCGTGCATGATATCAACATTAGGCCAACGCGATGACAAGGTGTGGTGGTGGTGGCGGTGGTGGTGGTGGTGGCGGCGAACAATGCACACAATTTCCATGATCGTCCACGCCTGCGCATACATTTATAAGACACAATGCACGGGCGTTCACGGAAGCTTACCAGTGTCAACCGGCGTGAAGGCATTGACCGCCACTAACGAGACACACACACACACACACACACACACACACACACACATACACACACACACACACACAGCACGCGTTCAAGCGACGTGAGGAGAAAGGAAGGTTCAAACAAGTGCAACGCAACCAGGATTGGCAATCAGGAGGAAGTGGCCCTCACCTCCGGCACCTGCCACAGAGGATCCACCTCTTGCGCAACCTGTCGGGACAACGGACAGCGGGTGGAGTGACAATAAACCCCGTGAGATAACAAGAGGTGAAAGCTAAAGAATGGGCGCAACCGTCACATGGCAGCGACCTCCAACCCGAGCAAGTAAGCGACGACGGTGGCAGCGACGATGACAACAACAACAACAACAACAACAACAATTAACAACAACAACAACAACAACAATTAACAACAACAACAACAACAACAACAACAACAACAACAACAACAACAACAACAACAACAACAACAACAACAACAACTTAATCAACTTAATCAACTTAAACAACAACTTAATCAACTTAATCAACTTAAACAACAACAACCCAGACAACACATTTCATCAAAGCCATGGCAGCCATCAGAAGAAGTTGTCACAGGCACTTCCAGGCGGGCATCCCACAACAGCACCCACGCTCACCATGTTGACGTGCTCGAGTGATTGCGTCTCCTCCCACTCATGGGCGTCTTCCACCTTATCATTGTCCTCCTTGTCTTGAACCTCGTCCTGGCCATTCTCTTCGCCGTTCGGGAGTGCTGGCCCATCGCGATTGGCTGTTGTCGTGTGCACACGTACACAGAAGGAAGGGGAAGAGGAAGAGAGAGAAGGAACATGTGGTGGTGAGATTGCAGATGAGGACGAGACAGACTTTGAGCAGGTGCATCTGCAGTTGTCCATGCAAGCAGAAGACAGGCACGCAGGCTGACTGGCGGAGAAACAGGCATTTACGCACGCATGGACGCACGGACGCACGGACGCATAAACAAACAAATCAAAACAAACAACCAGGCACATGCGCCTACCTCTGATGGGATGGAGGGTGGGCTCGAGGTAGAGGGAGAGCGAGGCGAATGTTTTCATGCAATCGAGGATGAGGCAGTTCTCCTTGTCCGGATACAAGCGAAGGCCCCGCCCAACCATCTGCGCCAGCAGCGTGTGCGAGCCGACGCGCCGTGCAATCACAATGCAGTCAACACACGGCAGGTCTGTTCCCTCTGTCAGCACGCCGACGTTGATCAGAACGGGAAACCTGCACAGGCAGCCATGGTGTGTGTGTGTGCGTGTGTATGTGTTTGTGTGTGAGCTGAAGGAAATCGCAGCAGTACACACGGAGGCAAACAGCAACTGTGACACACACACACACACATTCGCGCACACACACACACATAGCACGTTTGCAGTACTTTCTGGCTCTGAAGTCGGAGAGGATGCGATCTCGAAGATCGAGACGTGTCTGTCCCGTCAGCTGGCGCGCATCCACACCGTTCTCTCGAAACACGTTCTGAATGTTCTCGAGATGCACAATCTTGGACACAAACACGAGCGTGCTCTTGCGGCCCTCAGCCAGCCGCTTCCACTCCTCATACACCAGCGAGAACGAAATGGCGCTTTCGGGCCCACCGCTGCCGTTTTCTGCATCCCGCTCATTGATGCTGTCGTTGTCGTCATCGTAATCGTCGTTGCCGTCGTCGTCCTGGCTGCGTGTGCGTTCGAGCGTGTGGTAACGCGTGTTACCGGCGCTAGTGTGCTGCCCAAGATCCGATGATGCACCCCCACCGATGCTCCTTGGCTGCACAAGCACGTCGTTGCCCATATGCGGGGGTTCTTGCACGTCAACCTGCAACACGGTGACGGGGGACACGTATCCCCACTCCAGCATCTGTGGCAGTGACACTTGGTAGGTGATCTGTTCAAACACGTTCGCAAGCGGCACCCGATCCGGCCGCACAAGCGTGGCAGAGCAGCCCCACACGTGTGGCTTCGGGTGTGCAGATGAAGGCGGTGCAGATGCCACGGTGCTGCTTGTGCCATTGGTAGTGGTGTCATCGTGGGGGAAATCGCCATGCACACGCGCCCCAGCAGCGTCGTCACGCGCGCTGTCGTCGGCATCAGTGTTGCTGTCGTTGCTGTTGCCGGCTTCATCGGGGTCATCGGCATCTTTGAGAAAGTAGTCGAGTACGCGCTGATATGTCTCTGCGGTTGCGTGATGGGCCTCGTCAATGACAATGAGCTTGAACTCCTCAGGGTCAAAGCGCTCCAGGTGGATATCGGCCTCCATGCGGCCCAGCTTGGGCACGCTGGCCAGCACAACGTCCACATCGTCCGTTTTGGCCAGGTGGGATGTGCCAGAGTCGATGCCGACGGTGAGGGTTGGGTTGCTGGCGCGGATCTTGTCATGTGCCTGCTTGAGCAGCTCTTTGCGGTGTGCGAGGACAAGTGTCTTGGTTGCCTTTGTTGTCGGCGGCGGGACGAGCGGGATGAGGTGGCTGAAGATGACGGTTTTGCCTGCGCCCGTTGGCAGCGAGATTGCTTGCGCGTGGACGCCATTCTTGATGGCTTCGAGTGATTTCTCGATGGCCTCGACCTGATATGGGCGCAGCGTGATTTGATTGCCTGAGAGTGGCGCAAGCTTGTCCAGCCAACTTGCCTGCGATTGCGGTGGCGACGCCGCTGCAGTGGACACGGGCGACGTGCTGCCAGATGCAAGGTGGTCGGACGCGGCGTCTGGCGCTGTTGCAGAGCCGTCAACCTCAGCAGATCCTTGTGTTGCGCTTGTGGTGAATGATGAGACGCTGCAAAACATGGAGTGTGGCACACTTCCAGTGCCGGCAGCAACAACGGCACGGCGATCGAGCGCACGCAGGTGTGGACGAGGCAATGTAGTGACAAGCCGACGGGCTGCAGCATGACTGCGTATGCCTTGCGCGGCATGCCTCCACGACGCCCTGCGCACTGCACTGCCACAGCACCTCAGCAGCCATGGTGCTGCTGCCACCGCGGTCACGCTGCTGGCAGCGCACACCGCAGCTCCACCATGCAGCATCGTTGTTGGCTGGGCGGTGGTTGTAGAAAGTTATTGAAATACTTTCACACATTTCAGCAACCACGTTGCGGCAGGCAACCAGCAAGAAGCGACAACATGTGGAGCGATGGTGGTGGTGGAGTGAGGGATGCTGCTGCTGAGCGGGCTGAGCTGGGGTATGGCGGGCTGCTGGAAGAGGTTGGCCCGAGTGAAGATGGAGAGGAGGGTGGGGAAGCGGAGACGGGGGCGATCATGCGAGCCAGACAGCAGCTGGTGCTGCGGCTGTTGCGGGCGTGTCCCATCCCGTTTCTGGGCTTGGCGAGTCTGCACATGGACTCGCAGCAGCTGCAGGCGGATGTGGCGCGCGTGCTGAGTTGCCCGGCTGTGAAAGAGCTGCCGCTACCTGCAGGATATGCAGTGCAGCTACTGAAAGTGGTGATGCGGAGCGTGGAGCGGAGCGGCGACGCGGTGGACGAGGACATGTACAGCTGCATGGGCGCTGCCATGTCCCGCGCAGCGGATGCGCCTGCCTTCCGCCACTACGTGATGATGGCACGGCCGCGCATCTCCCTCGTCTGCCAGGAGGCGACGGCGTTTGTGACACAGGGCACGACGGGCCTGCGGACGTGGCCGGCGGCCCTGCAGTTTGTTGGCTGGGCGCGGAGGCACAAGGCCGATGTCATGGCACCCTGGTCAGGGCGACGCAGCCGCGGCAGCGATGCGGCGTGGTCCGGGGATGAAAATGCCCATGCTCGCGCTGATGGTGCGAACAGCTGTGGCGATGTTCAAGACAGCGCTGACAACGATGCTGAACACAAGGCGGATGGTAATGTGCAAGCAAAAGCACCTTTGGCAGGACCACCGGTGACGGTGCTTGAGCTCGGGTGCGGCACGGGCCTGCTGTCCATGGCGCTGGCCAAGCTGTGGCCGGGCACGCGTGTGATTGCGACAGACCGCAGTGCAGAGGCGCTTGCTCGCTGCGCGGCAAACTGTCGCTTCAACGGCATCAGGCTTGAGGGCGAGGACGATGGCGATATGGAACGGCAACAGCGAGAGGAAAAGGGGGTGATTGAACAGGAGGCACAGCAGGGGCTTGGGGAGGAGGCACATCACGAAGCAGAAGAGAGAGGCAGGGACAACGGAGGGACGGATGCAGAAGATTGGGGCATGAGTACTTTGAAGCATGGGCAGGAAGCGCAGCAGCAACAACAACAGCAGCAACAGCAGCAGCAGCAGCGATTATCGTGCGTGCGGGTGCAGCAGCTCGACTGGACACAGGTTTCTTCCAGCTCAGATGAGGAAAGAGGTGATGACGGTAGTGATGGTGATGATAGAGATGTTGTTGCTGGCGGTTGTGATGGCTTGCTGGCAGAGGCGGACGTGTTGGTTGGCGCAGACATTGTGTTTGACCCAAGTGTGGTACCGAGCCTTGTACGCGTGATTGCCAAGGCATTGCGTGGACAACGGCAAGCCACGCGCGTCAAGCGCGCTGCGTACATCTGTTCCACCATCCGCAACCCCGACACGTACGCCACGTTTCTGGCTGCCATACGAGAGGCGGGCTTGCAGTACACGCAGCTGTGCACAGACGCAGATGGCGATGCCAGCGATCTTGTGGATGACACCACCTGCCCCATCATCCTCTGCCGCATCCAGCCAGCTTCACAATGAGCAGCTTCTGTGTGTGTGTGTGTGTGTGCGTGTGTTTGTGATGTGTGTGTGTGTGTTGCATGTGATGTGTGTGTGCGTTTGTGTGTTTGTGACACGTGTGTGTGTTGCATGTGATGTGTGTGTGTGTGTGTGTGTGCGTGTGACGCAAGTCTGTGAAATCACGTGTTGCTGCTGCTGTGTGAAATGACATGAAAATGTAATGGCACATCTTTGAATACAGTTCTGTAAGCCTGCTTGCGGTTGCAAGGGAGTTTAATTACACTAACAGCCCCAGCTTTCAGTAAGGCAACGCGAGCGAGGGGAGTGTGACTGCGATCGAGCTAAAAAAGAGATAATGTAACATAACGAATGCAACAGAGTACGTACAAGTTGGAGTGCGTTAGGATGGGCCAGTGCTTACAACACTGACACATGGGGGATGGATGGGGAAATTGACTTTCAACCATCTCAAAATACCACCACGCGTCCAAAGCCAGTTGCACATGCGCACGCGGGCACTGGTTATATCTCCTTCTGCTTGCGTTTCAGTACTGCACGTGCCTCCATCTGTGTGGCACACAAGTCATGGGCGTGAACACAATACAGGCGTGTGTGTGCATATGTGAGTGAAAGACTGTGGGAAGGCTGGTTTAGTTGTTGTCTGGATTGTTGTTTAAGTTGTTTAAGTTGTTGTTTAAGTTGTTGTTTAAGTTGTTGTGGTCGTTTGTTGTTGCTGTCGTTTGTTACTGTTGTCGTTGTTGTAAATGAGCAGTCTTTGGCAGCATAGAGACGTGCTTACCCATCGCTTGCGGCAGGCATTGTATGCGTCAAACTGCTCCTGGCATTTGGTCTTGTCATAGTGGTTGTCGTCCAGGCACTTGAACGACGCCTGCTTCTCCTGTACAGGGAGGGACACAGACGATGGGAGTGCATGCAGGTGAGAGGCTGGGGGGGGGGGGACGAGGCAGCAGGGAGAGAAGGGAAGGCACATTGCAAAACAAGAGACAGAGAGAGACAGACAGAGAGAGACAGACAGAGAGAGAGAGAGACAGAGAGAGACAGAGAGAGAGACACAGACAGACAAACACACACAGACAGACACACACATACATGCACACACACACACATGCACACACACTGAACCTGCTTGCAGGGGTGCTGGTCGCGCGCAAACGCCTCCACATCCATCGCCGCAACAGCAAAACAGAACACCACTGCTTCGCGCACCTTAATGCAATTTGCAACGAACCTCGAGCAGCGCACACCGCAGTATCCACCGAACCGCGACTCACAGCAATTTTTGTGCGAGTCGTAGCGAAGCGTGCGCATCAGAGGACCGCCGCTTGCTTTTCCAATTTGCAAATTGCGCACCAGACACACCCACACACACACAAACAGCCACACACACAGCCACCACAAAAGACAGCACTTCCCACCCACCCACGACCGTCGTCACACACCAGCAGCGGCAGAACTTGCGGTGGTGGTGTGAGACCGACATCAGCCTCAACAACAACAACAGCAACAACAACAACAACAACAACAACAACAACAACAACAACAACAACAACAACAACAACAACAACAACAACAACACACACACGCACACACACGCACGCACACGTCGTTGCTCACCCGCACATCAGAAGATCAAGCCGTCGGGGCGTGTTGCACCACCCACAACAGCACGGGAAATCAACGGCCACCCGCCTAACGGAGGAGTTGCCACCAACCCGCCCACCCCACCATCACCATCACCATCACCATGGTGTCCGCGCACCGAGCTGCGCGCATGCCGCTGCCCATGGCCGTGCTGGCACTTGCGATGCTGGTTGCCACATGCGCCAGTTCCGCCAAGGCCGCAGAGTGCCAGCAGCCATGGACGCTGCTGGTGCGCCATGATGCCCGGGCGGGCGTGTTCCCAAAAGGCGAGTTGGATGTAAACGCAAACGACGACAGCAGCCTCATTTACGCCAGCCTCACAGCGCTCGAATCGCAGCGCAGCTTTGACGGGAACTTCTACTTCAAGCTCGTCTGGAACGACCTCTGCGAATCGGGCTGCCTCAGCAACAAAACTGCCATCATCTGGTCGCAGACATCCAACCCCACCACCTCAAACAACGTCACAGGTGCGCAAAAGACCCTCGCAGTGCTTCTTTTCAGCCCTACCTGTGACTCGAGATGACGGGAATTGCGTTGCGCACCACAGTGTACGCATGTATGTGTATGTGTATGTGTGTGTATGTGTATGTGTATGTGTATGTGCATGTGTATGTGTATGTGTATGTGTGAGTGAGTGAGTTGAAGTTGTGAAGACAAATCCGCAAGAACAGCCGCATGCGTTCTCGCCTCCTGTCCTCACACATCACTTGCATTTTTTCTTCTGCACCACCCACATGTTCTCTGGAACAAACACCCCCACCTCCACCCCCTGCCCCCTGTCCCTATCTTGCTTTCCCCATGCTTTTTTCTCCCCTCTCCTCTTGCGTGCGCGCATGTGTGCAATTCGCTCGCATGGCAGGGTACATGCCCTTTGATGTGGCGCCGTATGTGAGTTTTGAGGGCATGAAGCTTGGCAGCTATGCTCTCTTTGACGGGCAGTCAGGCTTCAGCTTCTGGTACAGCGTGGGCATGTTCGAGCTCTTCAACGAGGAGATTCCAGGGCCCATCCCTCCCGGCCATTTACAAGGCATGACCACGCCCCGCGTGGAGCTGTACGTGAAGCGGCTTGACAGCGGCAGCATCGCCGTCGATGGCCCTTGCCCAGAATTTGCCACGTGCACAGATATTGGCGAGGGCAACCACACCTGCGCGTGCCCGTCTGGCTTTGAGGACACGCTGCCCTCCGCCTGCGTCGACATCAACGAGTGCGAGACCACAACCAAGTGCCACGCCGACGCCACGTGCGTCAACACGCCCGGCAGCTTCGCGTGCGTGTGCAACGACGGCTTTTACGGCGACGGCACCACCTGTGAGCCAAACGAGTGCCTTGAGCAAGGCATCTGCCACGAGCACGCGACCTGCAGCAAGACCACCGGCGACTACACCTGCACGTGCAACGATGGCTTTGTCGGCAATGGCACGTACTGCGCGGACGAGAACGAGTGCCACAGCGACCCTTGTCTTGCCGACGCCGTGTGTGTCAACACGTATGGCAGCTTCCACTGCGTTTGCCGCAACGGCCTTGATGGTGATGGCATCACCACTTGCCAAGGTGTTTACATCATTGCCGTGTTTGTGTTGATATCTGGCACATTTATATCTTGCGTGCGCGCGTCTTCGCGTGTATATCGAGTGCATGTTTTGTTTCTGTGGTCCTTTGGTGTCTTGTAACATGCACTCTCAGCCACACGCACACACACATACACACACACACACACGATGCTGTCTATTTCCTCACGCATGCACAACCCACACCGGCGCGGTCCTGTTCTTGTGCAGACGACCTGGTTGTGTGGCTGGAGGGCTCGGACTATGTGCACGGTGCGGATATGTGGCTGGATCGCTCTGGCGACAACAATCACGCCTTCATTAACGCCTCCGCCGTCATGTTCGATGCGTCCCGCGGCCACTTTATCTTCAACGGAACAATGGAGGGTGTGTGTGTGTTCGTGTGCGTGTGCGTGTGCGTGTGCGTGTGCGTGTGCGTGTGCGTGTGCGTGTGCGTGTGCGTGTGCGTGTGCGTGTGCGTGCTTGTATCTGCGGCAACAGCACGGCACACTCGTCAGCTCAACAATCGTCCCCTGTGCTTCTTCACTTGCCCACATCTCTTCACCCCTCCCTCCCCCTCGCTGTCCAGAACTGATCACGGTTGACCTGGACATTGGGCCCAACACCTTCCCCTCACTCACCATCGAGGTGCTCTTCCTCCCCATCACCGCCGTTGGCGATGGTGCTGTCATTGACGCAGACAACGGTGCGTGGCGCAGTTCTATTCATGCGTAGCTGTGTTTGTATGTGTGTGTGCGCGTGTGTGTGTGCATGTGCGTGGGCGTGTATTTGTGTTTGAAAGTGAGAATTGCACCTGCATGCCGATCTGTCAGGATGACCAGCAACACACAACAGGCACCAAGTGACCAGTGTTTCCTCACGGTTTCACACCACCACCACCACCACCACCACCACCACCACCACCACCACCACCACCACCGCTATCATTTTCGCCAGGTGGGTATGACCGCCACTTGGACTTCAACGACTACGAGCTGTACGGGCCGGGCATTGCGTCGGGCACGGGCAGCCCATACGAGGCAGGCAGTACCGCCATTTTCCACCGCTGCTGGCAACACGCCTTTGCCGGTCCGTGTGTATGTGTGCATGTGGGGGAGGGGGGAAAGGTTGTTGTCGTTGTTTTTGTCGTTGTTGTCGTTGTTGTCGTTGTTTTGTCTTTGTCGTTGTCGTTGTCGTTGCTGTTGCCGGCTGTTGTTAAAGCTGTAGCTGTTGTTGATGTGCACCACCATCACCACTGTGATTCCTGCTGCTGCTGCTGCTGCTGTTGTTGCCACGACCCACTTGCGCAGCATTCTCAGCCAACACTCACCCAACAACAACACTCACCCAACAACAACAACAACAACACGCGTGCACTTCCTCTCTCGTCTGTGCGGCGGTGTGCAGTGTTTGAGCAGAGCGGGCGCCGGGCGTCGTTCACGGTGCGCAACGGGCACGTTGGTCGGCCTACCACGGCCTTGAACACGGAAGGGTACACCAACTTCACCATTGGTGGCAGCAGGTGGGATGGTGGCGCCCTCAACGGGTACGTGCGGCGCGTCAAGGTGTACAACCGCGCGCTGACAGAGGAGGAGATCCAGATCAAGTACGACGAGACAAAGCCAGACCTCTTTTGCGAATGTCTTCCAGGATACCGCGGCGTGGAGGAAACAGGCTGCATCGGTACGGTTCTCACGGGCTACTGTGTGGTGTGCGTATATGCGTGTATTGGCTTGTGTGTGTGTGTGTGTTCGTGTACAATTGTGCATGTGCGCGTGTTTCTGGACAATCTTGTGCGTCCACACACACACACACACACACACACACACACACACACACACACACACACACACACACACACACACATGTAAGCTGCTTCAAGCCCAATCCGCTCCCCCGAACAAGCTCACCACCACCACCACCACCACCACCACACGCTCCCCACTCCTCCAGACATTGACGAGTGCGTTGAGCAGACGGACACGTGCAACCCGCTGCGCGGCGTGTGCACAAACGTGCCGGGCTCCTACAACTGCACCTGCGCTGAGGGCTTCTTTGGCGATGGCCGCACATGCGATCCGCCAGCACCGTGCGTCGTCAGCGACTGGGAGGTCACCGAGGAGTGCAGCGCCTTCTGCGGTATTGGCACGCGCACAGAGACGCGCGACATTCTTCGCATGCCCGTGGATGGCGGTGCCAGCTGCCCGTCCCAGCTCACGCGCCAGACACCATGCATTGTTGCGTCATGCCCATCCTCCACCAGCATCGACTTTGTCATCACCACCAGCACGGACACGTACAACGCCAGCAGTGGCACGCCGTTCCCTGCACTGGACACGGCCCTGGGCAACCTGGGAAGCGGCACCACATCTGCCATCACGGGCGTTGTTGTGGACGAGGCAACAGGCACCGTGCTGGTGCAGGTTGCCGTGGACACCCCAGACAGCAGCGCTGCCTCCGTTCGCTCCGCCCTCAACGGCCTTGCGTCTGCGGACGTGGCTGTGGACTCGCAGGACATTGGCGCCTGCTACTGCTCTGCGCGGGAGGAGGACGGCGTGACGTGGCTCGGCGCCGCGTGCGGGCAGCTCAGCCCAACCGTGCACACGTGCGCAGGGTCCACAACAACGTTCATCACGCGCAACTGCACGGGGCGCATCGCTGACGGCGGCTGGGACCACCCGGACACGACGCAGTGCGTGAACGAGGACCTGGCGGCGCTGGCGGACTCGCTTGCCACCACGCCCATCTCGGACGTGCTTGCACAGGCCCTACTGCACACAGGCAGCCCGCAGCTGTTTGGCGTGCAGGACGTGGCCAACCTGGAACGCATCCTCAACGCAACCATCTACATGCAGGCCAACAACATCACCGACCTCGCTGTTGACGACGTGTTTGCGTTTGTGCGCCTCCTCTCGCGCACCATTGGAGCGCCGGAGGATGTTGTCACCGCGGGCCTGTCGACGTTCGGAGCGCTGACGGGCACGTCACTCATCCCGGACGCTGAGGAGATGTTGCTCTACTTTGCAGAGCACGTGCTGCCGCTGGACGAGTCCATCTCTGCCGTCGAGGCAAACGTTGCTGTCGACCTGTACCACACGTCGTTCAACCCCACGGCGCAGGTGTCTTGGCCGCCGCAGGATTCGCGGGCAAGCATCACGCGCCGCTGCTACGGCCCGGAGCCCGAGCACTACTGCTATGTGAACGAGTACGGCAGCGACGCAGCCGCGTTTGATGCCGACCTGTCCATCACCGTGCCAGAGACGCTGCTCAACCTCAGCATGACCGCGCCGCTCGCCTCGTCGCCATCGTCGTCGTCATTGTCATTGTCATCAAACGCGTCATCAAATGCGACAGCAAGCGGCGGCACGGGCGAGGACGCCACCCGGCCTCTGCTGGCCATTGTGGGCGCATACGCCACCAAGTTTCTGTTCCCCAGCATCTCGCTGCGCAACACCATGTCGCAGCTTGTGTACGCGACGCTGCCCACACTCCCGGACGACTACAACATCTCCTCTGATCCGCTCCGCTTCACCGCCACGCCGCAGTTCTACAACGGCACCGACACGGGCTGCGCCATCTGGACACCGGGCTCCTGGGACCCGACCGTGTGCACGCTGGTGAACCCGGACGCGACCACGGGCGCGTATGCGTGCGAGTGCGAGCACCTCACCACGTTTGGGCTGATTGAGCTGCGGGAGCCACAGCCGTCGTTTGTGCAGCCCGTGTACGAGGACTACGTGCGCGGCTGCGCGTCGCTCGCCTGCTTGTTCCTGGTCATCACCTTTGTTGTGCACTTTGTGCAGCCGAGCAAGTGGTCTCCCTCACGCATGGTGGTCATGCACCAGTGCGCGCTGCTGGTTGCAGCCCTCATCATCTTCATGGTTGGCTTCTACGACATCCGCAACCCCAACTGTCGGGAGATTGCCGTTGCGCAGCACGCCATCGCCGTTGCCTTCTTCGCCTGGATCCTGGCTGGCGCCGTGCTCTCGGTCTTCCGCAAGGCGCGCGCGTGGCAGCTGCTCATCATCGGCTACGTCTTCCCCGCCATTGTTGTGGTGGTCACCGCTGTGCTTCGCTACGACGACTACGGCCGCAAGCGCTACCGCACCGACCCGGACAAGCACTGCTTCATTGACACGGACATTGACCTCATCTGGGCCATGTACGGCCCCGCTGCCGGGTTTGCCGGCGTCGCCGTGCTCATCTACCTGGGCATCATGTGCTTCTCCGTGTGCTTCTGGCCAAAGGACCGCCTCAAGATGGTGGTCGGCGTGACCAGCGTCACGGGCACGCTCAAGCGTCGCCGCAAGCAGGCCAGCATCAGCAACGGCGCTGGCGAAGAAATCGAGCTTGACGCGCTCAGCACGGGCACAGACACCATGAGCAAGAACGCCACGTCCACGTCTGCCCTGCAGGAACAGGAGAAGCCGGAGCACAGGGACATTGAGCCCGTCAGCCGCGGCCACGCGCTGTGGATGTCGTTTGCCAGCTTCCTGCTTGCTGGTGTTGGTGGCGGGATTCCGCTTGCCGAGCTGTTCCTGATCAACGGCGTGTACACCGACCTCTGGCGCCCGCTCTTTGCTGGCGGCGTCATCTTCTACGTGAGTGCATGTGCTTTTGAGGGGAGATTGGGGTGGGGTAGTGGTGTGTGCATGTGCATGGAATGTCCGTGTGCGCGCGTGGGTGTATGGATGTGTACATGGGCATGTGGCACCGCCCCAGGGGGGGGGGGGCGTTGTGTTGATTGTGCTGCAACATTGTTGTTGTTGTTGTTGTTGTTGTTGTTGTTGTTGTTGTTGTTGTTGTTGTTGTTGTTGTTGTGTGTGTGTGTGTCGGTTGTCACTCGAGTCTCGTGTCATTCACAAACACGAGGACACACCCAAACGCAAACGCATACGCACACATGCGAACACATCCCACGCACATTCCCACCACACGCACACTTAGTCGCACACCAATGCACCCGCTTCACGCTCTCACTCACACACGCGCACACACACACACACACTCTCTCTCTGGCTCGCATGCTTACACGTGTACTTTACCCATTGTGTAGGGTGCGTTGATGCTGCTGGTGTTTGGGCTGCCGGATCTGCTGGCGTGCCTGTGCGGTCGCCGCCGCTCCTCTGTGACGGCGGACGAGGAGGTCATTGCCGGCGACGCAAACAAGCGCGTTGCAGAGTGGGATGAGTTTGGAAGGCAGAGCAGCGCGCGTCGTCGCTCGCGCCGCCGCAACGAGGCCACGCTGCGCTACCTGCGCACGCTCCCACCTGCAGAGCCAAAGCGCAAGCCACTGCCACAGGTGCAGGAGGAGCAGCAGCAGCAGCAGGAGAAGGACGCCATGTCTGCCGTGTCTGTGCCGTCCACAGCAACGGGCGCTGCTGCAAGCGGCATGGTGGATCTCTCCGTCACGCAGTTTGACACGGCGTCGCTCAATCTTGAGGGAGACATGGACGCGCCACTGCAGCCGGGCGTGCCAGACCCGTTTGTTGTCGACCGCGATGTGTTTGATGTGCTTGAGGCGGACATGGTGAAGCTTCGTGAGGAGCTTGCTGACCTTGCCGATGAGAGTGAGCTGGAGGAGTTTGATGCCATTCTGCAGGACATGGACACGGCGCACCAGGAGAGCCTGCAGCGGCAGCTGTACAACCGACGCAAGTCGATGCGCCGTCGCGCGTCGTCCAGCAGCCAGATGGGCATGCTCTCGACTGCATCCGTGCGCGGGTCTGAGGCAGACTTTATGATGTCTGACAACGACTCCATCAGCACGGCCGGCGTCATCCCCCGCAACTCCTCAACGCGTCGCAGCTCAGACTCGTCCCTGGAGATGGACTTTGCCTTTGAGCGGCAGTCGTCCTCCGTGCGCTCGGAGCAGCGCCGCCCAAGCGCAGAATACCTGCAGACGGACGGGCTGAGCAGGGGAACATCCATCCGCAGCGTGCGCTCCTCTGGGAGTCAGATGGTCACGGGAGCAATGAGCGACGCGTCACAGCCGTCTGTGCACTCGTCACAGCGCGGCGCATTGGCGGCCATTGTGGAGGCTGGCCAGGAGCGGGACGACCTTGGCGACGGCGATGGCGATGCGGCAAACAACACCAATGGCGACGCCAACAACGGGAACACCGGTGGCGACGCGAGGGGGCGCGACAGCACGATGACGACGACGGCAGCGCGTGAGGCAATGATGGCTGAACGGCTGAAGGACTTTGCCGACGAGTCTGAGGGGGAGGGCGGACACAACATGAGCGAGGCCGAGGATGGCGACAATGACGATGACGAAGAGCAGGAGGAGGAGCAGGTGCTCGTGGGCGCTGATGATGACGGTGATGGTGACGTTGGCGCTGTTGGCGCATCGCTGGAGGATAGCTACGACAACAGCGACTTTGTGGGCACGGGTGCCGCAGACGATGTGTACGCGGACCCAAACGCCCCCGACGAGAGCGCTGGGGAGAAGCGCGTGTCGCTCACGCCTGACGAGGAGTTTTCGGAGATGGCGGGCCTGTTGGCGACGCTGCAGGACAAGGTGGACCGGCCCTCGCTGCCCTCTGTGCAGGAGAACGCTGAAGAGGAGGAGGACGATGATGATGAAGGCGGTGATGGTGATGGCCCAACGGTGTCGTACTTCTAAGCGAGCAGTGGTGTCATCTCGAATCAGAACCAAGTCCATGTATGTGTATGTGTGTGCACGTACGTGCATTTGTTGTGGAAAAGAGTGTGAAGCTTCATGGGAGTTTGTTGATGCATTCCGTTCATCAGGGTGCGTGGTGGTGTTAGTGGTGATGCGCGTCTCTTTTCGTCTCTGGCGTTTGGTTTTGGAGTTGACGATGACGTGTATTTTGACAGCGGCAGGGCGTGAACTCCAATCGCGCCGAGTGCTTGCGATGACGAGACACGATCGATTGCTTGTGAACATGGCGTGTAATTGGTGCGTGCCTCTCCACATGCCTATTGTGCATGCCTGCAGACGCGCGTGGCATTGCCGTGCTGCGATTGTGTGGTCTTTGGTTATGGTGGTTGTGTCGGCACACGTGTTGCGGCTGCTCCCGTGAGCTGGGTTCTCTGCGGGGAGGACACGCAAGCATACTCGTCGATTATGGCGCATGTGCGTGTGCATGTGCATGTGCGAACTTTCGTCTCATGAATTTGGTGGCACGACCTATGTTAGTTTCAACAAGCAATGTGTGTGCTTGGTTTCCTCTTCTTGTGTGTTTTGGTTGTAGTGTTTAAACTTTGCCATAACCAAGCAAGAGCCACACAACAGCGGTGAGGAAGAGAGAGAGAGGGGGGGGGGAGAAGGAACACAAGGAGTTGGCAGAGGAAGGAATCGTAATCATGCTGACACGCACACAGTGACACGAAACCACGGAAACACAACCACGGAAACAGGATCACACGAACGTGGAAACAGGAGTAGACACACGCACAGACACACAGACACAATCGCATACACACAGACACACACAGACACACACAGACACACACACACACACACACACACACACACACACACACAAGTGCAAAGGACATCCTAACTGAGAGTGTGTGAGAAGAACGAGTCGACCAAGCTTCGCACGCCGCGGCCGCTGTTAGAGGAGGGCGTTGGCGAAGCATCGTCGTCGCTTGTGCTGGACCCAGACCCGCCATGGCCACTCAGTTTCCCCTTGAGGATGAGGGCGAACAACATGGCCACAACAATCAGCACGAGCAGGATGATGACATATTTCTTTGCTGCGCTCTTCTGGTACTTTTGACCCTGTGTGGCACGTTCGTTTGAGGTGCACGTGGGTGAGTGAGTGAGTGAGTGAGTGAGTGGGTGAGTGGGTGAGTGAGTGAGTGAGTGGGTGAGTGGGTGAGTGAGTGAGTGAGTGAGTGAGTGAGTGAGTGAGTGAGTGAGTGAGTGAGTGAGTGAGTGAGTGAAAGAGTGAGTGAGTGAGTGAGTGAGTGAGTGAGTGAGTGAGTGAGTGAGTGAGTGAGTGAGTGAGTGAGTGAGTGAGTGAGTGAGTGAGTGAGTGAGTGAGTGAGTGAGTGAGTGGGAGCTTCAACGAGCATTGCTGTGTGAGTGTGCGCCATTGCCCACAGAATCCAGTGTCGCACCTGCTCCAGCTCCCTCCGTCCGCTCTCCACCCGTCGTTCTGTTAGTTCGAGGTTGTAGTCGATGCGGTCCAGGATCGTGCCCTGTGCACCAACGAAGCAGCGACGCGTGCCAACATGAGTGACAGAATGTACATGTGGAGAGAGAGAGAGAGAGAGAGAGAGAGAGTGTGTGTGTGTGTGTGTGTGTGTGTGTGGGGGGGGGAGTTGTTTGTATCAAGTGTGCGTGTGTGTGTGTGTATGTGTGCGCGCGCGCGTGTGTGTATTTGTGTGTGACGTGTCGCCCAAGCGTTTGTTGGCGTTACAAACAACCCACTGGAAGCATGGCGCAAGGATATGAGGAAGGAGATACAACTGCGTTCATTCAGCACTTCGCACCTGATCAACAACAAGCTCTGCCAGATCCTTGAAGATGAGAGCAAGGTCGTTGATGCTCTGGCAAATCGCACGCACGACAGTTTGCAGAAAAAATCGTCATAATGAGCATGAGAGACACCAACCAATTGAACGCAAACGCACAAACACACAAACACACACGCAATCACAAAAACAGAGACGTCATGGGCAGACAGACAGATGCACATGATGAAGAATGGCATACTTTGACAATGTTTGTGATTTCTTGTTCGCGCTGTGCAATTTGCGCGGTGTTGTCGCGTAATTGCTGCTGCTGTGTATCCGTAAACCCCTAGCAGATGTGTTGTGTTGTGTTGTGTTGTGTTGTGTTGTGCGTGTGTTTGCATGTGTGCATGAGCACAGGTGTAACAGTGCAGCTGCAACAAACCAGCGAAACAGAATAAGGCATACAAGCAGACGGACACACACACACACACACACACACACACACACACACACAATACACGCACATACACAACAAGACAACGCACTGTGTCGAATGTAATGTCCTCTTCTTCGTCGTCATCCACACCCATCTCCATCAGCTCGTCTGTAAAACCGTAGTCCTTCTCCTTTGCCTCGCGCCCACGCATTCCTTGAAAGCGGCGCAGCAAGAAGAAGGGTAAGCGCATGCGTGCGCGTGTTTGTGTGCGTGTATGTGCGTGCGTGTGTGTGTGTGTGTGTGTGTGTGCACATGGCGTGTGCGTGCACGTGAACGTGTGGTGTAACGAGGGTGTTTGCGGCGAGCGCCACACAGTGTAAAACAAGGCTGGTCGTCCATGTGCTTACGTTTGAGGTACAGGCCCTGGCCCTTGCGGAAGGATTGTGATAGTTCTTGCAACTCCCCTGCGATGGAACGCATGACATTCTGCGTGACGCGTGCTTCCTGTGTGGACCCAGATGCCTTGCCCTGCACACACGTGCACGCGTGTGGGTGTGTGGTTGGAGTCGGGGAGATGCACAAGCAGGAACATGATGATAAGGATTGGCCATGCTCGAGTTTGCACTTAACACGGGACCGAGGCAGTTCGGCAATACGCAAGACACAGAAGAGAGACAAAGTGGGGGCAGAGAGACAGAGAGGCACACGAGAAGAGTAGACAAATCGACAGACGCAGACAGCCGGAAGGACAGAGAGACAGACAGATCAAAAAACAGACACACACACAGACACACAGACACACACACACACACACACACACACAGAGGCAAGTGCACCTTTCGTCCAATGTTCTGAATCGTCTTTTGGCAGCGATGAAACATCTATTGCGGTGTGTGGGAGAAGCAGGGATGGGGGAGGGTGAGATGGCATTTGCGTTAAGGCCATGCATGTAGGGCTTGCACCGCGTCGTGCTGCCATCTCGCACGCAGCGACTTACCCCAGTGATCTCGGAGGTGGCAATCTCAATCTTGCGCTCTTCCTCCGCGTGTTCGTCAAAGTTTGGCGTGTTGATGTGCTGGTTGTGCATTTGGTTGAGCTCCTTGATGCGCGTGCGAATTGTGTTGATCATCTCCCGAGCCTGGAGAATGGAGCAACGAGGTGATGGTAGTCGTGAGAGCAGCCCTTGTGCGTGCGTGCGTGTTCGTGTTCGTGTGTGTATGTCTGTATTATGTGCGTGCGTGCGTGTACGTGTGTGTGTGTGTGTGTGTGTGGATAAACACTCTGTGAACATGCATGCTTTCGTGGATGCACCATCACGTCACGGCCGCCGCGCAAAGTGTGCACTCCGCTGATGATGACGTCGTACCTCCTCCACATCGTCCACCCATTCTGGAGGAAGGGAGACTGTCGTCTGTGGCGAGTCCTCGTCCTCGCTCAGCAGCGCATCTCGGTCGTTGATGGGCTGGTTGACATGGGCGATGACATTTGAGATCAAACACAGACGTGTGAGCATCTAACAAGGAAGGCCAATCAGCAGCAGCCGATTCGAGCAGCAAACGACGGCAGGCACGACACGACGCAGGCACGACAAGATGCGAGATGGCAAGCTCAAGACACAATGGGCTACGATGACAATGGTGATGACAAGCCGCGACCATCGCAAACCACAGGGGAGCCATGTGCAAGTTTCCACACCACCTCCCCCACCATCTCCCTACCTGCACGTGACTGCCTGCGCCCCTGCTGCTCCGCGCATTCCTCCGGCGCACAAACTCCCGCGTCCTGTCGCGATAAGCCATGGTGGTCGTGGCAGTCAGTGTATGTGGGCAGTGTGTGCGTGTGTGAAGTTGGTTGATGGGTGAGAGTCGTGAATTTATGTGCTGTTGTTGCTTGTGTTGTTTTGGTTTGTGGCTGCTGCTGTCCTTCGTCCATTCACCCCCAGCGAGCAAGCGACGAGCATGATGCGAACAGGCGTGCGGCTTGCGCTTGCGGTGAGGCTCGGCACTCCACACTGCCGGGTGTGTGTGTGTGTGTGTACCTCTTTGCAATTGTCAAACAGATAGATCAGACGGACAGGGGGAGGACGACTGGGTGTGCTTCACAATTCACTTGCTCACTGCGTTCTTTGCTTGTTCTTTGCTTGTTCTTTGCTCGCTTCAGAGGTGTCCCAGTGTCTCAAGACGTGCTGCAACTGCAGCGAACCGGCTGGTCACTGATCCACAGGTGCTCCAGGACAAAGTGGACGCATGGAAGGGGCCCTACACGCCTGGTGCGCTTCCGCAACGTGTCTTGTCATGGTATCACCCCGTCTGTATCTCTCAAAAGTATCGCTCGAGACCCCTTGCTGTGCCTGTGTGTGCCTGCATGTCAGGGCCGTGAATGGCCTTTCATGGTGTCCCGCCGATCACGGTATTGCTCTTGGATGGCGCTGTGCGTTGTTGAATGAGGCAGGCCCACTGACGGAGGCGGAGTTTGAACAGTTCTTCACAGACGGGTTTGTCCTGAAACGTGATATTCTCACACCCGATCTCCTCCACGCTGCGCAAGGCGAAGTGGAAAAGGTGTGTGTGTGTGCGTGTGTGTTTGTGTTTGTTTGTGCGTGTGTGTGTGTGTGTGTGTGTGTGCTTTTGTGTGTGTGTGTGCTTTTGTGTGTGTGTGTGTGTGTGCTTTTGTGTGTGTGTGTGTGCTTTTGTGTGTGTGTGTGTGTGTGTGTGTGTGTGTGTGTGTGCGTGTGTGTGTGTGTGTGTGTGTGTGTGTGTGTGTGTGTGTGTGAGTACCCGCGTGGACTCATGCGCTCAAGCGTCGGGTTGCACACACTGGCATACACTGGCTTTGATTTGCCCAACTGCTTTCTCTCTTCCAATATAACTTTCCCTTATATACTTATCCATCCCAATTCCTTCCCTTCACCGTGCCAGGAAGTGGACGAGGTTGCTCGCGCCCTATTTGCAGCGGGAAAGATCACGGTGTGCTTGCACTTGCGCCAACAGTGTCTTATTGAGTGGATCGAGTGCTTGTGTTCCCCTGCTGTTGGCATTGCCTGTGTCATTTGGCTTTGCCTCGCGGGCGATGTCTCTGTCAACACCGCCCATCCCATCCTGCTCTTGCCAATTCGCCACACTCTCAGTGACATTATGTCATGTTATGCTCCACTGCGACGTGTCATCGCAACACGCATGTATGCCTTCACCGTGACACCAGGATTTGTGTGAGAAGGAGGGCTTCTTTTCCCGCTTGACTGCGTTGGAGAAGCAGTTTCCACACGTCTCTGTTCTTCTTCATAAGCGAGGCGTTCTTCGCCCAGGCGTGCGGCAGTGAGTCTCACGCACACCTGCGAAACAGCTCTGACTTTAACCACACGACCACCGTTGCTGTGCAATTCACCCTTCGTTGTTGCTCATGGCAATGAATGTGTTCACTCCGAGTCCACCACTGTTCTCTTCGCCTCCGTCTTTCTTCAGGCTGTGGTCTGCACCGGTGCTGCTCGACATTGCACAGCAAATCATCGGCCCCGACATTGCGGCACATCCCGTGTGGAACCTGCGTTGCAAGGTGTGCATGTGGGAGTGTGTGTGAGTTTGTGTGTGTTCATGTGCGTGTGAGTACATTTGTTGTGTTTGTGTGACACAGAGAGTGTGTATGTGCGTGTGTGCGTGTGCGTGTGTGCGTGTGCGTGTGCGTGTGTTTGTGTGTGTGTGTGTGTGTGTGTGTGTGTGTGTGTGTGTGTGCCTTGAGAATGCATTCCTTGGCTTTGGCGTACTTCTTTTCTGTGGTGCGTATTGACTGCCGTCCTGTTACTTGGCTGCTGCTCTGAATCATCTAGACCCCACAGCAAGAGCAAGCCACCGTGCCATGGCACCAAGACATTGCGTACCTGGACGAAGAGTGCTGGTCAACGCTGCAGGTCTGTCATCTTCTTACTTTGACGAAAAGACTTCGAGGGGAAGTCTTTGGCTCCATCAACACACACACACACATGTGCACACACACATGTGCTCACGTACACAGACACACACACACACACATGCACACACGCACACGCGCACACACACATGCACACACGCACACGCGCACACACACAATTTGATTAGTTGACGGCGTGGGTTCCGCTGTTGGATGCAAACGAGGAGAATGGCTGCATGCAAGTTGTTCGTGGTGGCCACAGGACCGGAAGAGCAGCGCACCACACATGCTGTGCGGGGGGCACCTGGTACGTTTTTGTGTGCACCTGTTTACGTGTCTCAGTGTGTGTGCATGTTGATGTGCGTTGACGTGTGTTGATGTGTGTTGATGTTACTGTGTGTTGCTGTGTGTTCCTATTTATGTGCGCATGTTGATGTGTGTTGACGTGTTGACGTGTTGGCTCCATGTTGCTGGCTCCTGCTTGTGATGGCGTATTGTCTGGCGTGATGTTAACTTGAGCGACCAACCCCCACCCCCGGACTGCTGTTGCTGCTCTTACAGGTATGTGGACTTGCCGGAGGAGCAGATAGAGGATGTGCTGGAGTGCAACATGGCGACGGATGTCGTCACTTGTCCAGTGCCAAAGGGCTCCGTGCTGCTCCTCAACAACCTCATCCCACACCGCTCCCTCAACAACATGTCCCCAAACATTCGCTGGAGCTTTGATCTGCGGTGGCAGAGCCCCCATGAGCCAACGGGCTTTTGTACGTGTCCATGGTTGTGCGTTGCTGTGTGGTTGCATGTGTCAGTGTCTGCATGCATCCGTGCATCTGCGTGTGCTCGCCTGGTTGAGTGTGCTTGGTGCGCTTGTTTGTGATGGTCCTTGTTTGTGATGATGTTTGTGGCAGTGGTGGTAAGCGCCATGCACTGCCACGGCCTTTTCCCATTGCTGCACGCAACTCACTCTACATTGTCATGCACATGTGTGCATGTGTGGCTGCAGCCGGGATCAAGGAAACCTTACCGATGCGCATGGGCGGCAACAAGGACTTCAACATCAACTGGGACAAGTGGGCACGGGAGGTGAGCGCAACGGCACTGCCATCAGCGTTAAAGAGATTATGTTGGCTGTTGTTCCACATGCGAACAGCTTTGCTCATGCCACGCGTGTGTGTGCGTGCGTCATCATCACATACACACACACACACACACACACACACACACACACACACACACACACACACACACACACACACACAAACAAGCAGGATCGCCACACGGGCATGACTGAGGCTGCACAACGCAGATCAGCGGCAGCAGGCGCGGACGGGACCAGAGAGAACACCACGAGCAGTGATGACGAGAAGGAGTTTGACACAACCATTGTTGGGCCGTGGATGCACCGCTGGCCAATCACACACCACAACCGACACACGCGCGCCCTGATGCGCAGCTCAAACAACACGTGAACAACACATGTGAGACATGATGTGAGACATGTTTTGAACACATCTTCAGTGTCCGTGTGCGTGTCAACCAACGAACAACCACCTGCTGCTCATAAACGAACGAACGCCCACTCGCTTGCATGTGAAAAGCGGACATCACCAACACGATGAGCGAGGTTGAGGATGCTTATGGTGGCGTGTACGAAGACGTGTTGGAGAGTGACTCAGACACAGACTCGGACGCCTCATTGGTGGGTGTGTGTTGCAGCAGCCATGTGTGTGTGTGTGTGTGCGTGTGTGTGAGTGTGTGTGGGCGAGAGAGCGAGTGTGCGTGTGCTTTTGTGTGTGTGTGTGTGTGTGTGTGTGTGTGTGTGTGTGTGTGTGTGTGTGTGTGTGTGTGTGGGCGAGAGAGCGAGTGTGCGTGTGCTTTTGTGTGTGTGTGTGTATGTGTGTGTGTGTGTGTGTGTGTGTGAGTGTCAGTGTGTGTGTGTGTGTATGTATTGCGTTTACATCTGCTCACCAGTGTGCTCGCGCCTGATGCTGTTGGTGAGCAGGATGAGCTGCCAGCGGAGTGGCCGCCCGCATATGCTCGTACAGAAACGGGCGAGGGAAGTGACAGCGATACGCAGGATGCAGAGACACGCACGCCACAGCAGGAGGAAGAGGATGGACCCGTAGCGGAGGAGGTTAAGGCGAGCGCACAAGGCAAGAACGACGAAGCCGTGCTCGCGTCGAAGGTGGTCGGACGGGATGATGCGGCGAATGCCAGTGGGCAGGCAGTGAGGGAAGGCGACGACGATGCAAGTACGAAGGCAACAGGCGCCAGCAACACAGACACCGATACCGCCGAGGACAGCAAGGAGCAGGTCAACGCTGACGATGCTCAAGATGCTGAAGCTGGTGGAGATGCTGTTGACCCGTCATCCAAATGGAAGGACATCCTTGCCCGCTGCCGCGCTCTCGGGCTTCCAACGTGCGAAACCTGTATGCGTGTGTGTCTGTGTGTCTGTGTGTGTGTGTGTGTCTGTGTGTGTGTGTGTCTGTGTGTGTCTGTGTGTGTCTGTGTGTGTCTGTGTGTGTCTGTGTGTGTCTGTGTGTGTGTGTGTGCAAAGGCACCTCGCCTGCTAACCCTTGCGGCGTGGTTCATCTGCGTCTGTTCATTCAGTGAGGCGAACGTATCTGAGTACGACCGCACCCTCATCCACTGCACCTTGCGCATGCAAGACCACAAGACAGGTGTGTTGGTGTGTGTTGCGTGCTTGCACCGTCTATTGATTTGTCCTTCGTGCACTCATGTATGTGGTCGGTGGCTTGCTTCTCTAATGCTTGCTTGCTTGCTTGCTCATGCAATGTGCCATCTCACCTTTGGCGAGCTTGCTTGTGCGTGTGCGTGTGCGTGTGCGTGTGGCGTTGCATTGCCTCCAGGTGCGACAACCAAGACGGCCGTGGTGCGTTCATTGAAGGATATGGAGGGTGTGTTGAAGCAGGTCGAAGATCACTACTCCCCTGCAGGATGGACGCTTGTGTGGTGCGAAGACCTCTCACGGCACTATTACATCAACAAGGACACAGGTGGGCAAGGCTGCGCATGTGCTTGCGTGTGTTTGGAGGAAGGGGGGGGGCAAAGGGGTTGCTTGGTTGATTCGGGTGTTGTGTACAAAGTTGTGTGTGTGTGTGTGTGTGTGTGTGGTGGTATGTGTGTGTGTGTGCCTGGTGTACTTGTGTGTGTGTGTGTGCCTGGTGTACTTGTGTGTGTGTGTGTGTGCCTGGTGTACTTGTGTGTAAGTGGCTGGTGTGCTTGTGTGTGTAAGTGTATGTGCAAGTGGGCCATGCCAGGCCTTTCGGTGTTACATCATCCTCACTGAAAGCAACATGTACTCAGGGGCAACGAGTTGGGAGGTCCCTTCATCGTCAACACAAGCGAGTACTGACGGGAGCTCACAACCTGCGGCGAAACGCAGCAAGCGCGCCGACGTCGCCGTCATGCCACGCTCTCGTCGCTCGTACGTGCCCTGACTTCTTTGACTTGCGGCCCTCTCGCTATCCACACAACACAACACAACACAACACAACACAGCACAACACAACACAACACAACACACGATTGCATGCGAGTGGTGTGTTGTTTGTTCGATTGTCACACCATTACGAGCTCACGATGTGTGGTATCACTTTGCCGTTTTAGGGCCAAGAAGCTGGCGTCCATCTTCAAGCAGTGGCAATCGTCCTAATGTGGTGAACGCATCCAGCTCAAGATGCTGTCTCTCTATCGTAACAGATCCCCTCGCCCTTCCCCCTTTCCACCCGCGTGTGTTTCTTGCTTTTGCTCATCATAAATGCCTCACACCCAGACCAGGATGCAACCAATGTGACAAAGAAGAGATAGACACACAGAGAATAGGAGAGGAGAGGAGGGAAAGCAGAGAAGGGAGCAGCAGAGCAAGGACGGCAAGTCATGGTGGTGCTGAGCTGAGCAAAGGGCGACAGACACAACAACACAACACAGGCTGCCATTGCTGAAATTATGTTAAAGATTTGAGTAAAAATTCTACATTCACCGCCACTCCGCCACTCCAAACAAACCACCAACGTCCCTCATCTTCTTGCTTCAGAGCTCCAGTCACAGCCACCGCCAGAGCATGCCTGCAGAAGCGGAGACGGAGAAGCAGCTGTGGACGTCCATCCTCAACGATGTGACGGCACACACGCGCACGCGCCACTTGCCCAAGCGCCATGTCGTCGTTCTTGGTGGGAATGCAGCTGCCTTTTTGTTTTGAGACTGGGGGTGTGAGTGTGAGCGTGTGAGTGTGTGAGTATGAGTGTGTGAGTGTGTGAGTATGAGTGTGTGAGTGTGTGAGTGAGTATGGGTGTGAGTGTGTGAGTGTGTGAGTGTGAGTAAGTGAGTGAGTATGGGTGTGAGTGTGAGAGTGTGTGAGTGTGAGTGTTTGTTTGGTTTGGGTGCGAGTTTCCTCGCACATGACGGACAAGAGATCATGTCAGATTCGGGCACCATCAAACACAAGCACACAATCACACCATCACACACGCAAATGCACACACAAACACAAGCACACAATCATACACGCAAATGCACACACATACACAAGCACACAATCACACACACGCACACATACCTTGTGTGCCATTCGTTCCATCCACACTCACCTTCGGCATCGTCGGTCCACTGTAGGTGATGAGGGCAGCGGCAAGTCGTCTTTGATCGCACGGCTGCAAGGCAAACCATACAACCCAGAGGATCACCCGCTCGGAACGGGTCTTGAATACACATACATCGACGTCAAAGACGAAGAGACGGAAGGTGCGGGTGCTCGTGACGTTGTATGTGGCTTTGTGTGTGTGTGTGTGTGTGTTGTGTGTTGTGTGTTGTGTGCAAGTGTACGCGACCGTGTGTAATCGCGTTCCTTGTGCATATGTACACACGCCGGCACGCGTTGAATTCTTGTGTCTGCTGCACGTTCGCCACAATCTCTCTCCCGCACTCCCTCTCACTCACACACGCCCTCCCACGCTCTCTCGCCCACTCTCACAACATCCTCGCGCTCGCTCACATCCTCCGCTTCTGTGTAGATGTAATTGGCCGTTTGGGGGTGTACACGTTGGATGGCAACGAGCAACACAAAGGCCTCTTGCAGTTTGTTTGCAACGAAGAGCAGCTGGAGAACACGCTCTTCCTCATCTGCCTCGACTACTCCAAACCATGGTGTGTGCGTCATGTGGAAGCCACGTGCTCTGTTTGCACCCTCACACTCCATCTCGTTTGACATGACATGACACGCCTGCGCCCCTTCCCCCTCCCTTGCTCGCGGTCACGCACGTACGAGAACCCGCAGCTGCCATCCTTTCTCATGCAACCTTGTCCATCTCGTTGTGTTTGCCGTGACCTTCTGCACCTCAAAGGAATCTGCTTTCGAGCCTGGAGCGATGGGTCGATGTCATGTCCAACTACCTCAGCCAATTCGAAGGATCAGAGACCATGGACAAACTCAAGGCAGACCGTGAGTGCCACACGTTTGCCCTGATGCTTATGCTTTCACGGCCAGCGGACATGCATGCGCGCTGGTGTGTATGTGTGGGGAGGGGGATAAGCGTTGGCGACAGTTCCCCTGTCAGCTCTCACTTTTGATGCGTGTATGTGTTTCACGCGTGTATACATGTATGTGTGTGTGATTTGCTCTTTTTGTGCCCAACCAACAGTGAAGCTGTACTTTCAGAAGTTCACAGAGCCTGGTGAATCGAACGAAGAGGGTCGAGACGACGACGATGATGACGACGACACGCTGCTGCCGCTCGAGGAACACGTGCTCACCGTCAACTTTGGCGTGCCCGTTGTTGTCGTCCTCACAAAGGTGCGTGCAATGTGTGTATGTGTTTGGGTGTTGTTGTTTGTTTGTACATGCGTCTGCATGCACCTCTGTGTGTGTGTGTGTGTGCTCTTGTTGCTTGTAGATTTGTCTGGATGTATCTGTGTACATGTGAGAGTGCTTGTGTGTGCGTCATGGATGAAGAGAGCCCAGCCTTGCTGTACGTGCGACCAACCGACTCACGGGCTGACTCGCGGACCGGCCTGACTTGCGTGCCACGTGCCCCCATTCGTTGCACCAGTGCGATGCAATGCCAACACTGCGCAAAGACCACGACCTGCAGGGCCAGCACTTTGACTTTATCCAGATGAAGATCCGGTGAGTGGCGGTGGCGGCTGCTGCAACGACTGCTTGTTCTCGTGTGGCTGCGCCCAATTCGTTTCGTGCTCGCAGTGCAATGAAAAGCCAATGCCCAATGAATGCTTGCGCCCTGTTTCTTTACCGTTGCTCCCATTTGCATGCGTGCCATGCCACGCTTTGTTTTTCAATTCACACACACACACACACGCACACACACGCACACACATGTGCGCAGGGAGTTTTGCATGACGTATGGCGCTGCTGTTGTGTACACGGGTCGTGACGGCACGAACAAGGACCGCCTGTATCGGTACCTCCTCCATCGCGCATACCAGTTCCCGCTCAAGGACCCAGCAGACATCACAAAGCCAGAGACAACATTCATCCCCAGCGGTACGCACGGCTGCACCGCACCGCACTTCGCATGCGTACGCGTATGCGTATGCGTGTGTATTCTCATGTGGGGCGTGCATGCCCGTGTACAAGTGACTACACTTTGTTGCAGCGAGCGAGCGACGGCTTCCTTGACAGTGTCTCTTTTGCTTTTGCTGTGCATGACATGCTGTGAGTGAGTGCCTTGACCCCCGTCTCCATCACCACCATGTGCCACCATGTGCCACAGCGTGGGACAGCATGGCGAAGATCAGCGTGCTGCGAGGTCATTCGCGCTCCCATCCAGCAAAAGGTCAGCAGCGGGTGGTTTCAGGCAGTGTTATTGTGTGTGTGTGTGTGTGTCTGTGTCTGTGTCTGTGCGTGTCTGCGTCTGTGTCTATGTGTGCGTGTGCGTGCGTGAGTGCGTGCGTGTGTCTGTGTCTGTGTATGTGTCTGTGTGTGTGTGCGTGTGTTATTTCCTTCCACCTGTTCGTGCTCCCTGCGCTTTTGCTGTGCGTTTCTTTGTGCTGTTCCACCCAGCGTCTTATTCCTTTTTTGTCTCATTTCGCCTGCTTCAACTCCCCCTCCTTCTCCTCCGTTGTCTCCGATGATCACTTCCGCCAGTTCAAAGAGGAAGTGGTTGAGGTGCAGGATGAACAGGAGTTTCTGAAGCAACAGCAGGCTCGCCTCGGTCGCGCCACCAACCTTGTCGACGGCCTCACGCGGCGCGAGTACGTCGCAGCGCGTGTGCTCCCGTGTTAGCTGTGCAGTTGACGCTTTATATTCACGTTCACTATGTCTCTTTGTCGCTCACGAACGCACAAATGCTCACGCACGCACACACGCACACGCACACGCACACACTTGATCCTGCAGGTCGCTGCGCGTGTCGCGAGGCAGCATGTCGCGGGCGTCTGGTGGAAAGCTCGGCGGCGTGTCGTCCCTGCTCGGCGCCAGCAGCACCAGTGCAGCATCGTCGTCGCCTGCAGGCAATGGCGCGGGGCAGCAGCCCGTCCCCACCACCACCGCCTCCTCGTCCTCTACCACCACCACCACGCCTGTTGCCACGACTGCATCGTCCACAGCCGCCACGGGCGCCGCAGACAGGAGAGCTGGATCCACCAGCCCAACAAAGGCGCCAGCCACCCCGGTACGTGTTTGATTGTTGTGTTTGTGGTTTTGGTTGTGGTTGTGGTTGTGGTTTTGGTTTTGGTTTTAGTTGTGGTTGTAGATGTGCTGTGCGGTGTTGTTTTTGTGATTGTGTTGTTTGTGTGCTTGAATGTGGTCATCGTTTTGTGGCTTCGTCTCCTCATGTTTTGACACGCGCGGCTGTGCATGTAGTCCAAAGGCGGTGACGCGAGCCAGAACGACGTGCTTGCAAACTTCTTCAACAGCCTGCTGCAGCAGAAGTCGGCGACTCCACAGCGTGGCGATGCTGCCGCTGCTCTTTCCAGGTGAAATGGGCAGTGCATTGACCTTTTGCGATGCTGCGTTGCTTTGTCATGTGCTGCGTTGTCTTGTCATGTGCTGCGTTGTTCATTGTGCTGTCCCGTCACCTAACCACATACACACATGTGCGCGTGCACACACACATACACACACAAACTTCCACTCCACTCCCACTCACACACACTCACACATGCGCAGCTTGAAGAAGTGAAGCTGGCACACAAAGAGCCAAACTGCCACCACAACCTGTTCTTTTCCATTCATTTCATTTGTCTGTTGTTGCCACAATTACCACTGCTTGCCGACTGCATGCTGTCGTTTGTTGTTGTTGTTGTTGTTGTTGTTGTTGTTGTTGTTGTTGTTGTTGTTGTTGTTGTTGTTGTTGTTGTTGTTGTTGTTGTTGTTGTTGTTGTTGTTGTTGTTGTTGTTGTCCACGCCCTCTCGCTCCTCGCGTCGCTTCGTCATCATCATTGTCATCATTGTGGTCGTATGTGCTTGCGATGATGACTCGACGACAAAAGTGCTGACGCCCCAAAATAGAAAATTCGTCCATTTTCACCTCAAGTTGACTGGCAGATTGGCTGGAAGGACACCAGCACAAACAGCAGAAGCAGCACAACCATTTCCATCCACACACAACACACAGCACAACACAAACAGCGGTGGTGAGTTGGATGTGTCCTTGTGTTGGTTTTGTTGTTTGTTGTGCTGATGTCGCACCGCTCCACTGCCTTTGGTTCCGAAGTGACTGTGTGACATTGTGACTATGGCGATGTGTGTTGCCCTGCGGTGTCTGCTTTCTGCTGCTGGTGTTTTTATGGGCCGTGTTGCGTTCTCGCAGTGGGTGTGACGTCAATGTGTCCGGTTGTGCAATGTGGGGGAGCGTGATGCTTCTCCCGCAGCTCAAACACGCCGGTGGAGGTGATGAGCTGTACAGCCCCCCTCCCCCTTCCACCTCTGCCCTGTGCCCACCTCATCCCACGATTTCCTCTCGGCCTTGATTGCATTCTCACGGGTTTCGAATGTGCCTGCCTGTCCCTGTTCATCACACACACACACACACACACACACACACACACGAGACAGGAGCGCCAGTCAAGTAACAGCCAACATACGGACAACCCCCCCCCCCAAAGCGACAGCACCCACGACAGCCAACTCACACCAGGCAAGAAAAGCAGGCAGTTACAATCATCCAAAGCCAATCCACCACACCAACCACAGAAAAGCCCATTGAACACCCGAGCCAACCCAACAAGTTCCACCTGTACCAAGCTGACATCATGCTGAGACTGTTCAGGAAGAGCACCAGACGACGCTCCACGATGCACATCAAGTGCCGCAACAACACCTACCTCGGTGGCCCTGCTCGTTTCACAGTGCCCAACGACAAAGTGTCCTGGGAGGTGCGTGTGTGTGTGTGTTGTGTGTCTGTCTGTGTGTCTGTGTGTGTGTGTGTGTCTGTCTGTCTGTCTGTGTGTGTGTGTGTGTGTGTGCGTACTCTCTGCTCCCCACTCACATTTCGCTGCTTTCACCATCTCCTCGCGTTTTAATGTCATGACGCTGTACGCTGTCGTTGACTGCTTTTCCCTTGCCGTATCCTGTGCAGACGAGCTGGTCGGAGTACAACCCCGTCGAGTATACAGCGGGCGTGGTCAAGGCGAATCCCGTGTGGGCAGACGACCCCGACAAGCTCGAGTGGGTCATCGCGTGTGCGCTTGTGATGAGATTGCGTACGCGAGCTTGTGGATGCGCCTGCGGATGAGGTTGTGCGGTTGATTGCCAACACCAAAGCTGACAACTGACCACATGTGTGTGACTCGCAGAGACATCAAGTTCAACCGGGAAGATGATGCACACATGAGCAGGAAGAGCTTCATCGGCAAGTACGCCATCGACAAGAAGACGCACATGCCGCTGTAAGTGTGCTTCAAACGGGCGGTGGTGTGATGGGGTCA